AAGTCTGAAAACACACAAACTCAGATTTATTTCGTAAAGAGATAGAAAGTAAATAAATTCTTCATGGATTCACAATTAGACAAAGGAATCTGGACGGTGATAATTGATCATATTGTCTCTAAAAAAGACTAGGATGTAGATTAAATACTAATACAAGTTCTAAAGTAGACTTCAGGTTTCCTCAACAAAACTTGGAAACAACATATGATACAATTAGTATATTTTCAATAGCAGTTGTTTTTTAATGTACTGTGGATTCATTATTATTCGTTGGATACCAATTTTCGTGGATTTCGTGGGTACAGGTGAACCACGAAATTAAATATCCACGAACATGTAAGTTTTCTTTAATCCACGAAAATTGGTTCCCATGAAAATAAATGAATCCACAGTATCTGACAGTCTGACTTGTTATGTTACCAAGTGCATTTAGAAATGCAACATATCATATTTCAAGTCCCCTTTGGTCCGTTTTTGTATTGAAATACTAAAATATTCTTTCAGTACCTTCCTCAAACATTAAGCTAAATGTTGCTGTAACAGTTTAATTTTTTTGTCTTATATCAACTTTTTTCAGTTCAGACACTTGAGATTAGTATCATAGGGTCACAATTAAAGCCTCTAAATGTGAATACACAGGACCAAAATGGCACTCAGTATATAAAAATAAGAAGATGAGTTATGAATAAGTGATTTTACTGATTGGTATTGTGAAAGGGAAAAGCCTGATCTGGAATTAAAGCATAGTGTTAAATCAGAAAACTCACTAGTAATAACATACTATTTTTTACCAAAAATTTGTATCGCTAGTTTTAAAGAAATCGTGATTTAAATGTAATGATTAAAGTTTTGGCAATTTTAAGGTGTAATCTAAACATTCACACCTGTGACTGAATGTTCCACCTTCTATTTCATGGAAGAAAAAAATTTTTTTGCTGTTCAGGTGCAGTTCCATTTGCATTAGTAGAATGCCAAAATGTATTAGATTAATCAGAGAGATTGCCCATTTATGGCACTGTTAACTAAACTTGTGATAACCAAATACTCTGCCTCATCTGACTAAAATTTTTCAGTCCATCAGGCAGTTTTTATTGAACATGATTTATTAAGTCTCCCAAACGAAGTTTGGGAAGACTTATTGTTTTTGCTCAGTTCTTATTATTATTATTATTCTTCTATTTCTTCTTCTTCTTCTTCTTCTTCTTCCGCCGCTTTTAAATTTGAACTTGTCCGCACCCGTTCTCCAAAACCGCTTGTCAGATTAACTTAGGGTTTCACAATATGTTAGACTAACATGTCTAGTGGTGCAATCAGGGTTTTGTTTGTGCAATGGGGTTTATAAAGGGGTACTTTGAGGGGCAAAAAGAAAAGAGGGTTTTACTATAGAACCCTATGGGATTTTATTTTTTTAAATTTTCAAATGATTATAAATTGAAAACCGTTTGTGATAGACACAATCTTTTTAATTGAAAATGTTCTAAATGATAAAGCCCATTAAATGAAATACAGGGTTAGTCCCCAGGGGTCACCCCCACCCCCTGCCATTTAAGAAAGTTCTAATACCTTGTAAGTGGTCAAGATCCCCACCCCTAAACCATATATATTTTGGTTTGTTATGCTAAGATGGTTTGAATGATATACAGGGTTAGTCCCCAGGGGTCACCCCGACCCCCTGCCATTTGAGAAAGTTCTAACATCTTGTAAATGGTCGAGATCCCCACCCCTAAACCATATATATTCTGGTTTGTCATGACAAAGCACATCAAATGAAATACAGCGTTAGTCCCCAGGGGTCACCCCCACCCCCTGCCATTTAAGAAAGTTCTAATATCTTCTAAGTGGTCAAGATCCCCACCCCTAAACCATATATGTTCTGGTTTGTCATGCTAAGATGGTTTGAATGATATACAGGGTTAGTCCCCAGGGGTCATCCCGACCCCCTGCCATTTGAGAAAGTTCTAATATCTTGTAAATGGTCGAGATCCCCACCCCTAAACCATATATATTCTGGTTTGTCATGATAAAGCACATCATATGAAATACAGGGTTAGTCCCCAGGGGTCACCCCCACCCCCTGCCATTAAGAAAGTTCTAATATCTTGTAAGTGGTCAAGATCCCCACCCCTAAACCATATATATTCTGGTTTGTCATGCTAAGATGGTTTGAATGATATACAGGGTTGGTCCCCAGGGGTCATCCCGACCCCCTGCCATTTGAGAAAGTTCTAATATCTTGTAAATGGTCGAGATCCCCACCCCTAAACCATATATATTCTGGTTTGTCATGATAAAGCACATCAAATGAAATACAGGGTTAGTCCCAAGGGGTCATCCTGACCCCCTGCCATTTGAGAAAGTTCTAATATCTTGTAAATGGTCGAGATCCCCACCCCTAAACCATATATATTCTGGTTTGTCATGATAAAGCACATCAAATGAAATACAGGGTTAGTCCCCAGGGGTCAACCACACCCCCTGCCATTTGAGAAAGTTCTAATATCTTGTAAATGGTTGAGATCCCCACCCCTAAACCATATATATTCCTATTTGTCATGTCTCGAACATTTGAATGACGTATACGGTCAGTCCCCAGGGGTCCCCCCTCCCACCCCCAATGTTCTAATATCTTGTAAATGGTTGAGATCCCCACCCCTAAACCATATATATTCCTGTTCGTCATGTAATGAACATTTGAATGACGTATAGGGCCAGTCCCCAGGGGTTCCTCCCCACCCCCAATGTTCTAGTATCTTGTAAATGGTCGAGATCCCCACCCCTAAACCATATATATTCTGGTTTGTCATGCCAAGATGATTTGAATGATATACAAGGTTAGTCCCCAGGCATCCCTCATGCATATAACTTTACTGGACCAAACCAATTTTCACTGGAAGTTGTCCAATGTCAGGCGACCCTGGGAATTACGAATTATGGGAGCTTCGTTTGGGAGACTTCGTAACAGCATCCTGTTACATTCATTTCTTGTTTGTTCAAGTGTTGTTCAACTAAATATTGTAAAGTAACAGTGTATCAGTATAAAGTTGATGTTTATTTATCTAAAACAAATACAAGTACAGGTAGCTCTTTACCTATTAATGATTCACCTTGTGTATTAAATTAGATATGACTAAAAAGGAATAACCAAAAATTTGAACTTGGCAAATAAGTAGTCCTCTATACCATACTCGTGGTTGTAAAATAACATTAAAGGACATGATAACTTGATAAGATCCTGGATCTAAAAATACATTAAATGAAAAGATTTAAAGTCTCGTTAAAAATACATATACATAAATGGAAAAAATGGATTTTTGAAAATAGACGATGCAATGAATGGTATAGGTCAATGAAATAGCAACGTGATGACCAAAAAAACTAGCAGATATCCATAGATCAACAAGTAGTCTTTAACAATAGATAATTGACTATACAGTATGTGAAACTCTGAATTATCTGTTTTACATGTAAAAGAACCCTTGCGACAACTCTTAGAGGGTCTGTAGGTAGCCTTTTGGTATGCAAAATTCCAGCCTCTATCTAGCATACCATTATTTTCCACCTTTTATCTCAGTTGAGATCTTACAGAACTTACCTATTGTGTTTATTGTTAATTAGTTCTCATTCTGAACATGCATGAAATATTTGCCACTGGACATAAAACAAACATCAATCAATCAAGACATCTATACTATCTGGATTAAAATGTATTTGGTGTTTTCTTGAAGGAATATTGTATATTGAAATGTTGAAATCAGGTAAAGAGTTAGCATTTGAAAAATGTCTCATGTTTCATGTGAATCCTCCAAAAATTAACCAAAGTGGCTAAAAGGTGAGCATGTTGTATTGGCTGGGGAGATGATGATGTGCACTTGTCTGCATTTACCATTTTAAAATTGTCCTTTGTTTAGAAAAGTTTAAAATGGGAGTCTGGTTCTTATTATTTGAGGTAAAAAGTATAAAAAAAGTTGCTATTGTATTAACTTTTTTTTTTAATTTGAGTAAAACTTAATGTGGATTATCCCCTATTGTGACAGCATACTAAAGTTCAGCGTAGTATTTAAAACAAAAATCTTTTGTTTGAACCCCTCTTATTGACAGAAAAAGACTTATATGAAGGATGAAGGGGGGTTTGAAAAGAAAGTCTTGCCATATTTTTATCCTTAGCAAAGTAAAAATTGATAAACAAAATTTTAATATGAAATTGGCTTATAGTGTACGATGTCCAAAATCAGTTCAAATTTTTATCTATTTTAGTAATAGATAACAAGAAAAAGAAAAATTACAGGAAATTGTTTAAGTTAATGCATTGAAAAATTGTTTACCACAACAAAATTCAATTTGATTTTGTTTGTTTTTATTATAGTATGACTGAACTAGCCTAATATTTGAATGTATATTAGAAAAAGTGTGTGAAGATTAAGAAAAAAAGATAATACTAAGTACCTGGAAGAACATAACTAATATCAGGAAAAGAGAAAATATGAAATTATTCTTGATTATACAGTTTCTTTAATTACCATGACACCAGGTGAAAATTAATTAATTCATTAAAAAAAAAAGTAAAATGATCTGAGAAGGGACAAGTGGACAGGTTGATGATGTAATTAATGGTCTTTAAAATTAGAAATAAGAAGATTTTACTAAAGGCATATTCAAAAGCATGAATTCTAGATCTGCATATTGTGCCTAATATTTTTTCTATCATATATTTTATACATAGTTTTGCTTTGTCTATACGGTACTCAGAGACCGTCCAAGCAATTAGCAGTAATTTTAGCAAAGTTTAAAAATGATACTAGTGTTATATGCAGAGAGTTGGAGAAATTGTAAAGTGTTGATAACAAAGTTAGCCTAAGTGAGAAGCAGGGCTAATAATTAAGCTCTGTTTAATGTACTAAGGTGTTTATTGTTTCCCTCTGATAATGCTTTGATTTGTTTCTCTTCACTTTTTCATCTATCAGAAGAAGTTACTCCATATAATATATGTATTTCTTTTTCAGTTACTTGTTTTCAATAAAGATGGTGAACAACACGCCACACACATGTACAGCAGTATGCATGGTAGTGCTCCATGTATTAAAGCCACCATAACCTACATGGAACAAACAAAGGTAAGTCAGTAAAAATGTATACACATGTACAGCAGTATGCATGGTAGTGCTTCATGTATTAAAGCAACCATAACCTACATGGAACCAACAAAGGTAAGTCAGTATAAATGTATACACATGTATATCAAATTGCATTGGGGGTTTCATCAAACACACCATAAAAAATGAATCAAACCTCCATGAAATAAGCAGTCCATACATATATGCAGGAGAAAATGATGAGGCAGCAGTAAAAGTATGAAACACATTTAGAGGTTTCCATATGAGTTAATTGTTATATAATAAAATTGTAATCTCCAAATGATCATATTTTATTAATTTGGGCTGTTATATAACTGTCACAGGATAGAACAGGGTTGAGTGCTTATAACAACCATTACTGCTACATTCTTTACAAGTTAAAAGTTTGTTATTCGGTTGTTGTGGTTGGTTTCTGTCTGTTATACTGTAAATGTACTTTTATTTGTTGGGTACCAATTTTCATGGTTTTCATGGATGGCTTTATCCACAAATTTAAGTGTCCAACGAAATATAACAACTGTTGTCTGAATCAAGACATGGAAAGATTCCCATGTAATTTTGACTACATGCATGTTATGGATACTGGCATATAATCTAGAGAATACATCGATATCAGCATAAGAACTATGAACTATATTTATAACTTTAGCAGGAATTAACCCATTTAATCTAAAAAAAAAAACCATAAACTGTACAACTTTTATCCCTATAATTCTCATGGGAAAATTTGTTTTGATCAATGAAAGTCAGACCTCCTGTGATGATATGAGATGATGAAGTGTTCATTTTATCTCCTCATAATTCTCATATGATTTGGGCTCATGTGGATAGTTGTCGCATTGGCAATATCATACTACATCTTCTTATTTTTATATTAAAAAGGGAATAGTCATACCAGGAACAGTGCAATTGAGATAAATATTGTACAAAAATAACGATGAATCAACATTTAAATACAACATTAAATTTTCAGTATAAAAGTTTTAACAATTTTATAAAATTAGATCACCTTTTTTGAGACATGAAATACATATCAAATTAAACATCTGCTGTTGTAGCCTAAGGGTTGTTTGTAAAAAAATGTTAAATTTTTATAAATGTTTGGAAAGGTAATAACCTTTAAATATTGATTTTGGCACATTTTCTGTCATAAAACGATATAAACTGAAATTTTGATGAAGAAATAGTAACTTTAAGTTAATTTCAGAACATATAGAATTATTAAGATTACAAGTCTCTCTTGGTTTATATTTTTAATCCACTAGTTCTTCATGAGACCTCCTTCATTTTCATAGAAAAATATAGAGAAACCTGTGGGTTTTTTTTGCAAAATTTCAAAAAGACCAAAGTCTGCACTTACAAGTATATCAAAAATTTTATCTAGTCAAAATCCATTATTATGAAGCTATTTTTACCCAGAGTTCAACAACTTAGCTTTAGTTTTGTCATTTTGTTTGTTATCAATCAATTATTTAACATGAATGTATTGCAAAGATTATTTTACTGTCTATTGCAGTTTATTTGAAATTCTGACCCAATTGCAATTTGTTTGTCAAACCAAACTGTTCAACTGGTCAAAAATTTTAAGCAACTGCTTTAAAAAAACCACAATAAGTCATCAAAGTGCAAGGTGATAAAATAAAGCATGCTTACAATCCTTTAAAACTTTAATTCTACTGTATTGCTATTAAATAAATCTTAAAATGACTATACATCTTGTTATTGTAAAGTAATTCAAAAGGTGAGAGGTACTAATTTTTAATTGCTATAAACATGTGTAAACCCTTGTACTCTAGCCAAAGGTTATGATCCAGTCCCCTCCTCTCTAGTGAAGATGGTGTAAACTAAGCTTTCATACTATTTTTTTTATATAATAAGTCTTCGATTTCATAAGAGTCAGACATCAGTTTGATTTAAAACATGTTATATTCAGTAAAATACATGTGAAATTACAATATGTTGTTACTGTGACTTGACTTGCAATTTGTTTGATCAATCAAACTGGTCAGAAATTTTACTAACTTCTGTAGAAAAACCACAACACTTACTGTCACAAGTCACATTAAGAGCTTTTTACTTAATAACCTATTTTGGGTTTTCTTATTTCCCTTGATATACGTAATTGTCTCTCTTAATTTTCATTGCATATTGTAACCATAAACATGTAAATTTCCTTTAAGTTCTATTCTAAGTACATTTGTACTTATTTTTATTTATACATGTATCATATCATGTTATTAAAGTGAAGGAATGCTTGAGTGACGTCAGTCTTATAAGGTAGATTATACCCTGTTCACTAATGCATTCATCATATGGACATTTGAGGAGTAGAAATTGAACCTGGTTTCTGTCCTTTCCCCATCCATTTTTTCTTTTTGTTTACTTTTAATGATCTTCTGATTTTCGTATACCATATATTTGTTTCATCAGAAGAACTAATAGACATTTTTTTTATTCTTTTTAGAAAGTTTGTTTGACATTTTATATATAAAGTGTACATAATCCCTTTGAAATTTGTAGACATTCTAAATAACCAAGGAGACTATGGAAAAAAGTAAAACCTCCTCTTTACCCACAAACACTATTTCTTACATGGGAATCAGTCATATATATAAGGATTTTTTTTCCCCTGAAACATAGCAGGTGTGCTTTGAAATTTTAAGATAATGGGTGGGGACAGAAGTCTTTTAGTTTTTTTAAGTACAAATTTATGTGAAATTGTTAGTTTTGAATTTGGCATTTTGCAGGGATCTAGAAAAATCAGCCCCAGAACAGATGTTAATGTTACGATTGGTGCATGCGAGTCTGAGATTGATGTCACAATCATTGACAGAGTCAATAGTCTGCTGTCACCACCACCAAGGTCAAGGTCATGCAGTCATACAGGAAATATACCCATGTACACAGGGGTAAGTTCCAAGGTTTTGTTTATACAGGTCCAGGTTATGCAGTTATACCAAAGATATACACAATGTTCACCATTTTGAGGAAGTATTTTGCCATACTGTTCACTTGCTTGTTGTATAATGAAAAAAATTAAGAACTTGAAAATTCAGCATATAAACTTTTAGTCAGTCATAATTGCTCTTGTGCCTTTGTATATGCCCGTTTACGGGATGTATTATGGTATACCGTTGTCCGTCTGTCCATCCGTTGGCGACACGTCGGACAATAACTCAAAAAAGCTTTCACAAATTTTCATGAAACTTTGGTGAATTGTTTATATCTATTGACAAAGGTCCTTTTCCATCTTTATAAATTTTAGAATTTACGTTTCTGAGTTTTGGAATTATATTCATAAAAACTGGGGGATTTTCCAGTTTTCTGACTATAACTCAAAAATGCTTTGAACAATTTTCATGAAACTTTAGTGAATTGTTTATATTTATTGACATAAGTTCCCTTTTGATTTAAAAAAATTTCTGATTTTACGTTTTCGAGTATTGGGACTTTATTCCTAAAAAAGGGATGATTTTCCAGTATTTCGGACAATAACTTAAAAAACGCTTTTAGCAGTTATAATGAAACTTTATTGACTTGTTTGTATCTATTGAGATAAGCTCCCTTTTGTTTTTTATAAATTTCTGACATGACATTGCGGCATTATGGAACTTTATTAGTTGAAAAATTGTCGAAAAACTGGCCAGTTAGAGAAGGGGGGTATCACACACTCATGGCCCAGCTCTTTATTCTATAACTTTGTGAATATTTAAGACAGGCCTGAGACAATAACAAACGCATCAAAACCACACCCCTTGTCAGTGTAAACAACTATGATGACCAGATATCAACACCAGTTCACAAAAAATAAAATACTTTTACAAGCTTTCAATAATGAAAGTATTGTTATCTGCTGTGTCTAAGTTGTTTCCTCTTGAAAAAATAAGGATAGAGCATCAAAATACTTTGCTGTACATCTGAGACCTTTAGTAATGGTTTCCATACAATAACTTGAGTATAAGTGTATGGATCTCTATGAAATTGTACCACAAGGTTCTATACCTCAAAAAGAATGTTGGATTGATTTTGGGGGTCATGGCCCAAACCATTTAGGAATTAGGGGGGAAAAAACAAGGATTTCTGGTTCCGGACAATAACTTGAATATAAGTGTATGGATCTCTATGAAATTGTACCACAAGGTTCCATACCAAAAAAGGAAGGTTGGGATTGATTTGGGGGTTATGGCCCTAACCATTTAGGAAAAAGGGCCAAAAACAATTCTTTTCTAAACTTTGTATAAATTGCCTATTTCTTGACCAATATCAATGGGGTTTAATTCAAAATCTTGAATTTTTTGGGTTCTTTAATATGCCAAATCTAACCATGTATTTAGATATTGGATTTGGGGCCCTGTTTTTATATTGGTCCACATTGAGGTCCAAAGGGTCCAAAATTGAGGTCCAAAGGGTCCAAAATAATTAGTTCATCAAAAATTAAATTATTGGGGTTCTTTGATATGGCAAATCTAACTGTAATTTTGGGTCCTGTTTTCAAATTGATCTATATTAAGGTATAAAGGGTCCCAAAGTAGACTTTGTTTGATTTCAACAAAAACTGAATTCTTGTGGTTCTTTTATATGCTGAATCTAACCATGTATTTAGATTTTGGATTTTGGACCATAATAGGTAAATGTCCAATCCAAATTCAGAGCTGTATCAAGCTTGAATGTTGTGTCCATACTTGCCCCAACTGTTCAGGGTTTGACCTCTGCTGTCGTATTAATCTGCACCCTGCAGAACATTTTATATTCTTTTTAAATCACTTAGACTTTCGGCTGTTTCTTTGTTATTTCAATTTTCCTGAAACAAGAAGTAGATTAAAAGAAAGTATAAAATCCATAGTTTTCAGAATGTGTTGCAATATCATTCTACAATAAGAGGCAATGGTTCATGTAGCTCTATAACTGAACATGACAATTTTCACTAATTTATAGAGCCTGTATGACTATGCCTTATGCTTCTTTCTTCTGAACAGGGTTGTAGTAAATACTGCACACAGGACGTTCACTATGTACTAAGTTAATTATAGCAACATTTGAAGTCTGTTCTATACCATATATACATGTTATCATTTCAGGTCCCGGACACATTCAGTCAGACACTAGAAGATGGTGCTAACTCATCTGAAATGACAACAGATATAAAAGTGAATAGTTCTAATGTTAAACTATATATCAGGTAAGTGATGCATGTAGTGTTTCTTAATGATAAGTCATATTGACTAGAGATCCATGGGATCTGTATCCATAATAAGGTTTGGCAAAGTTGTACATGAAAGAAAATGTCATGCATGTACAAAAGGACAAAAAAGTCATGATCGATTTCATTATATTAGAATGGCCACTTCAAAAAGATCATTTGGCCCACTTGTAAATCCAATCAACTAAAGTACTTATTTAAGTTTATTCATATTGTTTTTGGCTGAAAATGTGTAATGATTATGTCATGAAAATAAGGGCCAGACTTCAGTCACATCCACTATCGGTTTAAAAAAAAAATATGTCTTCCAAACACTTTCTTTTTATGTCTGTGACTGTAGACATTCTATTACCATAACTATTCACGAAAATACTGGTAGCTAGTTACAATGTATTAATAAATAAGCTTTTTAGCTCATCTAGCCCAAAAGAGCCATGATGCACATTAATCATCACTTGGGGTCTGTTTTCTGTCTTAAACTTAAAAAAAAAATCTTCTGCAAAACTACTAAACCCTTTCAAACCAAGCTTCACATAAGTGATCCTTAGAGTGTCTAGATTAAGGTTATGAATTATAAACACAGCAGATCCTGCTCCACATGTGGCACCCGTTGTGTTGCTGGTGTTAGTACAAACCTGGTGATAAGTCTAATTTGGTAGGTCACATTCGGGGGAAAGGGGACAGGAATGTAGTTACGACAATTGGAACATATCTGTTGTCATCTATGAAACGGATATTCCATAATGGTCAGCCAACTCATGATGGCGTCCGTAAAATTTACAAAGAGAGGATTTCAACTTCACCACTTGGAACTCTTGATTTGATAGCTTCCTTATGAGCAGCAACCCTCCACCAAGGAAGTCATGATAATAAATAAAAGTCCTGAAATATCATATCAGCTGGGAGATATATACTCTGTGTGCAGGTACTGCTGGAATGTTGCAAACCTTTGATTCAAGCTAGGGTATATAATTTTAAATATTAGGCTGCTTTGTGGTGTATTCTGGCCTTTATTAACTTATAAACTGTATTAAGTTAGCTTTATAAAATACATTTCCAGGTTTCCTATTCCTGATTTGAGGCCACAATCACAGGTTGACAGGTTTCCATGGTGGAAAAAAAATCTACGAGAAGAAATGGTGATATTAAAACTGAGTGATTTTAGATTTATAACGTCCATAAAATCCCAACAGTCAGTTCTACAAATGGATGTCATTTGTAAAGAGGTTCATGGTAGGTTTTACAAAAGAGTTTGATTGAATCATCACATTTTCCATCAAATGTTGCATTGAAGTACTGGCTTCAGTTACAATATGACTTGTTTTGGTAATGTGTCCAACAAACAAACCAAAAAAGCTTTTATTTTCTGTCAGCCTAATGATATTTGAATGCATTGGTTTTTAGAAAAAATAAGCACCTAATATTTTATTCGTTGACAATTTTCTACTTTAAAACTTATTTGTTCCTTGTTGTTTGTTTTTGGAACTTAAAAAAAAATAGCACCCAATAATTTTTATTAACAAATAGATGAAACTTTTTATACTTTGCATTTAGATAGATATAGAGCATCATATGGTGTTTTTCCTCATATTAACCTGAAACATCCAAGAGTTAAAGTCTATCATCTGATATTAGTAGAAAGTTCAGGAGGTGATATGAAGACCCTTTTTCGTATCTTTTTTCCATATATTTCTCAAAAGTATTTTTGTGCAAGAGGATATTGTTCATATGATATGTCAAATCCATTGCATTACAATTTCCTGTTTACAGTGTACCTTTATTTTCTTACTTAATGGCCATGTATGAAATTTTTGTTGCATTTGCTTAGGAACCATTAATCAGAGTCTTCAGAAATTTGGTATCAAGCTCCATGTGGGCATGCCTTGCTTCGTAATGCCTTTTTTATACGCCCGTTTACGGGACGTATTATGGTATACCGTTATCCGTCCGTCGTCAACATGTTGGACAATAACTCAAAAACACTTTAACCAATTTGCATGAAACTTTGATGAATTGTTTATATCTATTGACGTGAGGTCCCTTTGGATTCTTATTAGTCCCCTACCAACGAAGTCGAAGGGGACTTTAGGTTTGCACTCCGTCCGTCTGCCTGTCTGTCTGTCCATCCATCTGTCCAGCAAATCAGTTTTCCACACTTTTTTTCTTCGTGCTTGAAGATATTGATTTGATATTTGGTATATTGTTTCATCATGACAAGTTACAGATCAAGTTCAAATTTTGTTCCAGTCTAATGATTTTGTAGTTATGGTCCTTGGACTTAGAAAATTCACTCAAATAATCAGTTTTCCTCACTTTTTTTCATCATGCTTGAAGATATTGATTTGATAACTGGTATATAGTTTCATCATGACAAGTTAAAGATCAAGTTCGAATATTGTTCCGGTCTGATGATTTTGTGCAGAGTTATGGTCCTTGGACTTAGAAAGTTCACTCAAATAATCAATTTTCCACATTTTTTTTCGTCGTGCTTGAAGATATTGACTTGATATTTGTTATATAGTTTACACCATGACAAGTTATAGATTGAGTTAGTATTTTGTTCCAGTACAATGAATTTTTAACCGGTAGGGGACTATGTATTGCCAGGCAATACTCACAGAATGCTTGTTAATTTATATTTTATGTTTTCGAGTTATGGAGTGTTATTCATTAAAAAAGGGGGATTTTCCAGTTTCCTGACAATATGTCAAAAATGCTTTCAGCTGTTTATGAAACTTTGGTGAATTGTTTATATCTATTGATGTGAACACCCTTTCGATTTTATAAATTTTAGATTTTAATTTTTCGAGTAATGGGGTTTTATTCATTAAAAAAGGGGGATTTTCCAGTTTTCGAACAACAAATCAAAAATGCTTTTGGCAGTTTTCATGAAACTTTAATGAAGTATTTATATCTATTGATGTGAGCTCCCTTTCGATTTATATAAATTTTAGATTTTTAGTTTCCGAGTGATGGGGTTTTATTCATTAAAAAAGGGAGATTTTCCAGTTTAGGACAATAACTCAAAAGTGCTTTGAGCAGTTTTAATAAAACTTTGGTGACTGGTTTATATCTATTTATGAGGAGTTATGGAACATTATTCTTTGAAAAAGCGACGGGTGTGTCATGCGCTCATGGCCAAACTCTTTATTAGGGCCCCGCCGAATGGCGGACGCCCTATAGTGATCAGTCTGTCCGTCCGTCCGTCCTTAACAAATTGTGTCCGCTCTATATCTAGAGAACGGTTATGATTTCAAAGTTTATGCTTGACATGTATATTATCCAACACCAGAGGGTGTGTCATAATGTATGTACAACTTCCTAGGTCAAAGGTCAAGGTCAAAAACTTTGGTTTTAGTTGACAACCCCATGTCCTATGATAAAGATCGTGTCGGCTATATATCTTGAGAACCGTTATGATTTCAAAGTTTATACTTGACATGTATATAAACCAACACCAGAGGGTGTGTCATAATTTATGTACAACTTCCTAGGTCAAAGGTCAAGGTCATAATCTTCGGTTTCAGTTGACAACCCCATGTCCAATGATAAAGATACAAATTTTGAACCACACATTATTCACAGCGGGGCCCACAGAGATGGCTCCCATCTCAATGATATCTAGTTATATTTAGTTAATCATCATCTTCCTCTTTGCTAAATACTAATATAAGGAATAATTTGTGGGAAATAGCCTACTTAACCTTACCCCTTGAGAGGTTATAAACTAGCCCCTTATATAAGGAAATTTACAGTATATCTCTCAATCAATCTTACAATTTGTAAATGTTATCTCCTTTTTATTTTATTTTAATTTCCAGCTTTGTTGCTCTTAAGTTATGGAACTTGAATATTCAAATATAGGGGAGGGGTGTAGAAGGCATTATGCATATGGCTCAGCTGTTTATTATGTGTATTATTTTGCCAAAACTTCCTTATTTTTAGCCATATGTATGAAACATAGTCATATCAGTGCTAACAGACATGGGATTCTTCCGCCGGGAGTCAAAATCTCCCAATTCTTAAGCCCTCTTCCGTCCCTCCCGTTAATAATTCAAATCTTCCGTTTTTTTCAAAATTTCAACCCCAACAAATTTGTCAGTCTCTATTTTTTATTACCATCGATGTCAACATTAATTACGTTTTTGTGTAACTGATGAAGGTAACTTTTACCTGTAAATCAAAGAACTTGTATAATTGTATGGCTTCACTTGACAGCTTGGATGTCAAACATACTATTTATCAATAACTTTAACCTCAGGCTAACTGCCGTTATGGAATAAAAGCTTTGTGTATTTGAAAACACTTAAAAGAAATTTTCGGGTTACTTCCCTTGTTTTATCATGTTTTAAGTTACCCTCCTTAAAATAATGTACATTGATAAAAGAATATGCATGAAATAATGTCTTAGGACAAATAAGAAAATATTGTTTTGAAAATTATTTGTGAGATCTATACTTCTTTTCAATGCTTAAATTGAAATTTATAAGACATGTATTGACCTTTGTTTAGATCTGTAAAGCCGACTGTGCGAGGGCTGTATAGCCAGTCAAGGTCGTTAAAAACTTCCATCATCATTTAGATCTGTATATTTTTATTTTCTTTGGTTTTCTACAAAAAATTTTATTTTTATATTCTTTTATTTTATTTAAGTTCTATTTTATTTTCATCATTTATTTTTATTCATCAACTTATTTATTTATTTATTAGTTATTCTATCCTTCAAATTTTTACTCACTTTTACTTTTTATTCATAATAGGTTTTTTTTTCTTATTTATCATTCTAAATTATATCAATTACCTTATGGTAAAAATTAAATTATTTAAATGCCCAAAAAGGCGCAAGCCAGGGCCGACCATGCAAGGGCTGTATAGCCAGTCAAGGTCGTTAAAAACTTCCATCATCATCATTTAGATCTGCCCGTGGGAGGGCTTTATAGCCAGTCAAGGTCATTAAAAACCCCCATAAGTTTAGTGACTGAGTGAGTGTTTCTGCTTAATCTGGCCAAATCATAATTAGCTACAAATGAAGTAACACTGTATAACATTATATAAAATTATTGAATGATAGAACTGAGAAACATACTATTGATGACAAAGATGAGGAAAGGAAAAAAAATCACATACAAATAGTAAAGCTTTAGTGTTGACAAATATTTCACATGGTAACAATACAGAGAGAATACATTAATAGTAATACTGTTATCTTAAAAAAAGAGGAAGAATGTAGCTTTATCATCAAAATAAACATTGAAAATGGCGATAAATATGTTGATAAAAAATCTCTAGTTATGAGGCCCAAACTCCAGCTGAAAATTTTCAAATCTCTAGTTGTGACTTGACAACTCTGTCACATGTATGTGCTAAGTGCTTTTATCAGTATAGTGTTTTGTATTTTAAAAAATGATAAAAATTATCCATCTCGAAATTATCAGCAAGTTGACAAAATTTTAATGATTCTTTAATATTTATACCTGACTCTTCTACTGTAATCAAATTTTAGTGATAACCACATTTTTCACAACAAAGCACTGATTTGGCATATTATCAACGAGTACTGTTGAGAAATATATCATAAAATGATAATGCCTTAATTTCTGTTACCATTGACCTGATTATGGTGATGATCAAGATATCAATCACAGTTAAATGTGCAATAATTGGCTGTAATATTGATAAAGAAACTCCTACTTTCATTGTTTAAAAGCAGAGTGACTTCAAATTTCTTTTTGATACCTGCCACTGTAATATAGAGGAGTTTTGTTCCATGTACATACATCCAGCCTATCTTTTGTCGACTCTGCTCGAGTCATTTGCAGAAAGTTTAAGGTGCAATGCTATATTATAGAATGGTTATTTGCCAAAGGTCACTGAAGTTTTTGGTTTTCTCTGATATTTGGCACAACCTTTTTGAATTTTTATGCTCTTCAACTTCATGTTTGATTTGGCCTTCCATCTGTTTTGATTTGAGCACCACTGAGGAATCTCATGCAGATGAAATATGTGTCTGGTTTTCTTAATTATTAGAATACCATCTTTGATGAATTTTTGTCTCATGTAAACGAAGTCGAAAATGCAAGACTTAGGTGTGGTGTTGTTTCCAGCTTTTGTGTATGTAGCGTCAGCAATGTATTAGTTTGTGATTAGGTCAGTTTATGAGGAACCACTAGTGGTAGGTCAATGATATTTAGTATGCAGTTGTATTAGCATTGGCACATCTCATTTCCATGGAGATTATTTGGCTCTGCCCCTTCAGTCATGGTCTATTGACTTTGAATGATTTGCATAGTTTACATGTGAAAGTTTGTGAAAGATCAGTTTGAGATGAACTGCTAATGTTAAGTCAGTGATATTTGGTATGCAGATGTATTGGCATTTGCAGATCCCATTTCCATGGAGATTCTATAGACCCACCCCCTCATCATGGTTTATTGACTTTGAAACTTTTACATTGTTTACAAATTAAAGTTTGTGTCTAGGTTTGTTTAAAGTGAATGACTTATGACAAGTCAATGGTACTTGGTATGCAGTTTTATAAGCATTTGCATTTGCCTTTAAATGATTTGCATAGTTTACATGTTTAAATATTGCATAACGGTTTATTAATCAAGACACCCAGTTTGCGCCATCATGCAGTGAAATTTATCTGTAAGGAGCTGCACAGTTGTTCTTTTGTTATTAATTCACACTCAAACTTATTCAAGTGTAAACCAATTTGGTCAGTCCAATTTGAATTTTAGCTGCTTAAACATTTTTAAGGCATTGAAATCAATATTGCCCTAGTGAAACAGCTTTCTTTAAATTACATTCACCCTAGATTTACCTGAATTTTAGCTGAGCAATTTACTTTCAATACCCAATAATCTCCTTTTGGAATATTAAGATAGAATTGACCATTTGAAAGAAAATTAGTGACACTCGTATTGTTTGGTTGTAAAGTTTTCTTAGATATTGTTGATTTTGCTGTATTGGATACATAGAGTTTGTCAGTCAGGTATAAAATGTTATTTGCTGAATATCTAGTGGCAAATATAATGAACAAACCAATAAAGAAATGTGATGGAATTACTAAGATATACAGATAAAAAAATGGCCAATTTACTACTTTCAGGTTCATTTCTACTGGACCCTAACCATGAACCAGAACCATTTGCATATGCCTGTGGGGACAATGACAACGAAGATGGATTTAATTCACCTCAGTATGTTATTTAATTGTTAGAGCCACCAGAAAATTCTGAAAATTCATATTTATTATTTTCATCTTGTAAAGTTTTATACTTTAGTAGAATATATTTTTTATCATAAGATTAAAACATGTGTAAATATAAAAAATGTAAGAAAGAAAGAACCTACCGGTACTTACAGGCAAATTTAGTTTTGTATATCAGAAAGTAATTAATACTGGTTAATAGTCAGTTTACATATTCAATTCAATTTTCAGAATAAGTTTAAAACTATCAAAACAAATCATATCTTTACTGGATGAACAAGGAATGAACTCTGAAAACAATACCCCACTTGATTCTCTGAATGGTGCATGTCAGTTTGACAAAGTGGATCCATCTCCATTCTCAAACAAGAAATCCATGTATGGTAAAGATGATGATGGAAGTAAAGAAGATACCCACAAACATGTCAGTGAAGAGGTAGGAACTGCTTTAAATGTTACAGGTTTCTACATATCAATACAAAAAAAAAATTATTCTAGATTCAAGGAAAACATTTGTATAAAAGGCTTCAAATGAGGGGGAATACTGGATAACCTCTGTATTTCACCTGCTTCTGTTTGCCCATAACACCATAATTTCTGTCGCATTTTTCTCAGCAAATACAAGCCATAGCTACTTGATATATTGCACCCTTCATCTGCTAATGCAATAAAATAAAACTTGTTTTCAGTTCTTTTGATTGTTTGCTTCCAGTTTGCTGAAAAGATCTTTAAAATTAATCACAGATATGAAAGTTAAGTCATATTTCAATTAGCAACTTTTTCAGTGTATCCATCTGTCTGTAACATATTTCTGTCCCATTTTTATTCAACAAGCCATTACATGACTATTACATCTTAGTAAATGTCACCAAGCTTCATCTGATTACACATACCATGTGACATGTTTTCAGTTCCTTTGATATTCTTCCTGTTTGCCAAAAACATATCTTAAGCAGAGATTTTTCAAACAATAGTAGAGTATATTTTAGCAGTTTTGTGGAGTTATGGAACTTTATCTGTTGATAAAGCGACGAGAGTATCATGGGCTCATGGCACAGCTCTTTATGTAAATAATGGTTGAGTATATTTAACTGAAAAGTTAATGCATATCCCATATGAATGAAAATTGAAATAATTGCTGTAAAAAGAGGGAATACTTTATATGTTTAAAAGTACAGAAACTGGACTGTAATGTCCATGAATTGTTGTATTTTGACAGATGGTCATACCAGGGGACAGAGATGAGATGATGGAATTCCAGGATACCTGTATAAACAATACAGAAATAACATTGGATATATATCTACCCATGGCTAACTGTTACCTACCTAGCAAAAACTTCTATGAAGTTCTATACAACAGGTAAGTTTAGATCATGATATGATAGGTAATATTAAAGATTTCATGTGTGGAATATATTCTGAAGTATAAGAATGGTAAAGTGTTCTAGTGGTCAAAGAATTATTTTATGAATTCCTCCTCATATATTTTGTAACAAAGGATTAATTTTAATACTTCTACTTGTTCAGCATGTATAATTCATATTTATGTTCTTCTATTTTTGTAGTTAAAATTGTTTCTTAAACTTTCAAATGAGAAAATTATGTCTTTCAGATTTAATAATGACTTGTTGCTATGGGAACCAGTTGCACCATCACCTTTACCTACTCAGGACCAAGCTTCAGGATCTATACAGCCATTTGACCTTAGTTGCTATCCTCAAGTTTTGCAAGATAATTTTGAATTAGCGAAATCTGCTATTCAGTATGGTATGCATATTTGTTTAGAACAAATCGCATTAGTAACACTACTATAAGTTTGGGTGTAACAAGGGCCCTGCCAATTAATCTGCGGAAAGCCAATAGTAATCAGCTTATCTTTCCGTGCTGTGCATTCTTCCATCACAAATCATTTCTGTTCCCAAACTTTCAAACCTCTTGGAGTTGGGTAATGAAACGTAGAATGATTAATTACCTCTACTAGTAGGTGTGTTCCACTCAAGACTGAAATCCACACAGTAAAAGTTATGGTAAAAAAAATTAGTTAAACTTAAGCAGCTCTGTGCATATGATCAAAAATCTTTTCCACTCTCAAATTTTAAAACCTTTTAGAATTGAGTCATGAAACTGGGCAAGGTTATTCAACACTACTAGAAGGTGTTTCTCAAACTTAAAGACCCCTTGAAGTTTGGAGATAAATTAGTGGGTCAGTAAAATTTCTGCCTTCTGTAGGTATATGATTTTAAATAGAATAACCTTGATTACATCTACCGGTAATTTGCATCACAATTGACTTGTCTATACAAGGGGGACCCTCTTTGGTGGCTCCCATCACTGTTGTATCCTCTAGCTGTACCTATGATTACAAAATCTTTTTCAATCTTTGACAAGATGATAAGAATTAAGAATAAAAATAATTTTGAAAAATGGGGAGAAGATACCTAGGGCAGCTATAAAAGACCTGAAGTTAAAGACAAGACAGACAACATGTTCACTTAAAAGAAAAAAGACAAATGGATAATAGTTTGTACAGAAAAGTAAAGATTAAACGAGATGAACCACACCCTAAACTGTGGTGAATTCATGTGTTTTGTAGAAGGTTACATAGTTCCTGTTCTAATGGTAGAACACATCATGTTTTGTAAATGTCTTTAAATTCTGTAGATACAATGTTATTGATCCAAGAATATTGATATTTACTTTACCAGTTGGATTACGTAAACATAACATTCTACAGATAATATAGCATGTATCCACCTCATCATAAATTGGTAATTGTTAACTATTATTTAACTTTTGAAATGGATCAGTTAAGAAAGGAGTAGGGGCATTAAGGCCCGGTTTTGGCCCAACTATTTCAAATTGGCACATAATGTTTGGAAATGCATATAGTGAAGAAATATAAATGAAAAACATAAGATTGTTTATATGATGACGTCACAGTTACGTCATAATATGAACCGTTTTCATGAAAAAGATCAAAAATGCAGAATTTGTGCAATTTCCATCGTTATTTCCATTACGGAAACATCGTGCGCAGCCAAGAAACAACAAAATAATTTAAGAGAAGCTTTATTAGAACTATTCAAATAATCTCACCAAATATAAAGTTGTTTCTTGGGTGCGCACATACTTTGCCAATCTTAAATATACTTCGAATTTGATGAAAAACAATGAAATTCAAGAAATTTTATAAAATATACAAATTTCGTCATGGTTTGTTGCCATGGTAGCTCGTTTAATGTGAAATTTGTTTTTATTTTCTAAAAACCTTGTAACTTAGTCTAGTTAGGACAAATTTAAGGATATGTATGATAACTTTTAAATTTGCAGTAATATTTGGGCCAAATAAGGGGCTTATTGCCCCTGCTCCTTTACTACAACTTTCTTCAAGATGAATATATGGATCAATGGTCAACAAAAACAATAACAATCCGTGAATTCAGGATTGATCTGTTAATACCAGGTAATTTAACTGCTAAAATTTGATATCTCTGTCATTGTAAATAAAGGATTTTTAAGAGCTGGTTCTACTAATGTTTTTTCCAGAATCATCAGATGAAGAAGAAGATTATAGTTACAATTATTACAGTATCCATGACAGCAAGTACCCAAGGAAGTCAAATACCAACAGTAATCAGCCATGTAAAATGTGTTTGCTTCTCAGGATTGACAAAGGGAAATTAACTACATCATTAAATTCAAAGGTATAGTGGTCTATATATATATATATATATATGTTCTATATATGGGATATTGCTTTCTGTATTCAAAGTCAGATGAGGGAAAAATTCTAAATCCAAATTTTGGTAAGTAAAAAAATGGGATATAGATTTAGTTAAATCCCAAAAGTTGTTCAGCTATAATGATTTACCCATAAATAAGTTTACATATAGATTTCCAGCTGTGAATTCATAAAAAATGGTATTGAACATGGTTACTTTAAGTTGAATTTCATCTGGAGGCACTTAATTGTAAGGTTTTGACATCAGATTTGCTTAAGTTAAACAGCTGGCTCCAGCCAACTTTACCTTAAATTCACCATAATTCTACCAAATCAATAAAATTAGAGTAGAATTGAAAACTAGCTGAAAAAAAAGATCAACAGACTTATGGTTAGTATGTATGATATTGATAAATTATACAAAAAGTTGAAGTTTTGTGGGGGACACTTCATGCATTGCCTAACAATACAAATGGTTTTCAAATAAAGTTTATAAAATAAAGCAGACATCCACTAATGATCCCTCTTGTGTTTTAGTTATGGTTTGAGCAGTAGCTTTTCTTTAAAAATGTCTTTATGTTCATTAGACTTTGCTGTTTTATGTGACCTCTCTTCCATCATTCTTATAATAATGATCTTTTTTTAATTGTAAGCACATTACATTCTAAGCAATCAATATCTTGTCTTAAAAAATCTTTTTATTTTGTTATTACTTATGGTAGTGAATTTCTTGCATTACTATTAGAAGGATATCTAATTAAACAGTATTTTATAAGTAAATTTTTTTTTGTGTAGATTAGTTTACATATCGATTTCCAGCTGTGAATTCATAAAAAAAATGGCATTGAACAAAACTTGACCATATTATTCAAAAAAAAATGTTTATTAGTTTTTTTCACAAGTTTTATTATGATTGACAGGCAGAGGACAGTAAAGGTGCTGCTGTAGCTGTGTTACAGAATGCTAACTTGTTTACAGTGTCACACTTCAAAGGAGATCCCAGTCTACAATATATATGTTTCATAAGCAACCAGGTGGAATTATATCACTCAGGTAAAACTTTATCCAAGTCTACAAAATATCTGTAACCAGGTAGATCCTGGTCATGGCACCAATTTGTCATATGATGGCATGAACTTAAGAAAAGATGTCTTGTTAGTTATAAGTATTGAGAAAGCTCAAAGAAATATTACAATAATTGTTATGGTGCAATTTGGGGTTGCTAAACAGTGCTGACTTCACAACAAAATTATATCTTTGGTAATACATATGTTGTAATATAGAACATTTGGAATTCTAGTGTAAAAAATTACCTCCTCTTCAAACACTGAAAACTTGATCATTTAATAGATAATTTCTTAAAAAATGTATGATTAGGATTTAGAAATAGTTTTTTAAACAGTATGGTTACCAGTGTAAATTATCTATTGCTTTTGTCACCTTTTTATAAAAGATGAGTCACTTTTCTATTGTTCTGGCTCCATTGTATCCCATTAAACACCAATTCAAGTGTTTAATGGGATACAATTTTTGATAGGCTTCTGTGCAGAACTTATAAAACTCCAAATTTGTGTATCCAAGAAATTCAATGTTTTCTCAATGCAAGAAATTTGGTATACACTTTTTATACAACCGCAAAAATTAAAAAATTTTTGGTCGTATATTGGTATGACGTTGGCGTCGTCGTCGTCGTCCGGCGTCGTCCGAAGACACATTGGTTTTCGCACTCTAACTTTAGTTTAAGTGAATGGATCTCCATGAAATTTTACCATAAGGATCAATACCACGAAAGGAAGGTTGGGATTGATTTTGGGGGTTATGGTACCAACAGTTAAGGAATTAGGGGCCAAAAAGGGGCCAAAAATAAGCATTTTTGTAACTTCCAGACAATAACTTGTGTGTAAGTGTATGGATCTCTCTGACATTGTACCACAAGGTTCCATATCACAAAGGGAAGGCTGTAATTGATTTTGGGGGTAATTGCCTCAAAATTTTAGGAATTAGGGGCCAAAAAAGGGGCAAAAAACAAGCATTTTTCTAGTTTCATGACAATAACTTGTGTGTAAGTGTTTGGATATTTCTGAAATTGTACTACAAGGTTCCATATCACATTGGGAAAGCTGGAATTGAGTTTGGGGGTAATTGCCCGAAACGTTTAGGAATTGGGGGCCAAAAAGGGGCCAAAAATAAGCATTTTTCTAGTTTCCAGACAATAACTTGTGTTCAAGTGTATGACTCTCTCTGAAATTGTACTGCAAGGTACCATACCACAAAGGGAAGGCTGGTATTGAGTTTGGGGGTGATGAATCATAAGGGGGTTCAAAAAATTTGGGAGGGGGGATTTTTTGTTTTTCTTTTTTTTTTTTTTTCCTTTTTTTTTTCTTTTAAAATTTTCCATTTTAAGTTGGTTATTTCTGATTAATATTTAAAAGCAAATAATAATGATATGGTAGGAGATACACACCAAATAGGATGTGTAAATTATTATATAATAAGTATTGTGCAATAGCAAGAAATTTTCAATTGCACAGTATTGCACAATAGCAAGAAATCTTCAATTGCACAGTATTGCACAATAGCAAGAAATCTTCAATTGCACAGTATTGCGCAATAGCAAGAAATATCCAATAGCACAATATTGCGCAATAGCAAGAAATTGTCAATTGTACAGTATTGCGCAATAGCAAGAAATATTCAATTGCACAGTATTGTGCAAAAGAAGATACTTCGTATAAATTGCTTATTTCTTGATCAATTTCAATGGGGTTTTATTCTTGAATTCTTGGGGTTCTTTAATATGCTGAATCTAACCGTGTATTAAGTTTTTGGATTTTGGGCCCCATTTCCAAAGGGTCCAAAATTTAACTTTGTTTGATTTCATCAAAAATTGAATTATTGGGGTTCTTTGATATGCCTAATCTAACCGTGTATTTAGATTCTTAATTTTTGGTTCCGTTTTCAAATTGGTCTACATTAAGGTCCAAAGGGTCCAAAATACAACTTAGTTTGATTTTAACAAAAATTGAATTTTTAGGGTTCTTTGATATGCTGAATCTAAACATGTATTTAGATTTTTGATTATGGGCCCAGTTTTCAAGTTGTTCCAAATCGGGGTCCAAAATTAAACTTTGTTTGATTTCAACAAAAATTGAATATATGGGGTTCTTTGATATGCTGAATCTAACCATGTATTTAGATTTTTGATTTTTGGGCCCAGTTATCAACTTTGTCCACATTGAGGTCAAAAGGGTCCAAAATTAAACTTTGTTTGATTTCATCAAAAATTGAATATATGGGGTTCTTTGATATGCTGAATCTAACCGTGTTTTTAGATTTTTAATTTGGGTCCCGTTTTTTAAATTGGTCTTCATTGAGGTCAAAAGGGTCCAAAATTAAACTTAGTTTGATTTTAACAAAAATTGAATTCTTGGGGTTCTTTGATATGCTGAATCTAACCATGTATTTAGATTTTGGATATTGGACCATAAAAGGTGAATGTCCAATTTAAAATTTTTAAGTTCTTAGACCACATTCATTCTGTGTCAGAAACCTATGCTGTGTCAAATATTTAATCACAATCCAAATTCAGAGCTGTATCAAGCTTGAATATTGTGTCCATACTTGCCCCAACTGTTCAGGGTTCGACCTCTGCGGTCGTATCAAGCTGCGCCTTGCGGAGCATTTTATTATGAATATCAGTTCTCCTCAATAATTAAATGAAACTTTCATTTCATCTATTGCATTTTTCCTGATTGTATTGAATCTGTCTTATAAATATTGTAGGAACTTTATCAGCATCTGAAGATTTTTCCTTAGTACCAACTTGTGAGAACATTAGTTATATCCCAGCATGCTTAAGGAAATGTAAGAAAATCTATCCCACAGAAACAGGGGTTAACAACAAATTAGATCTCAGTAACGAGGACATGCTCTCTGTAGCTGTAAGAATCAAGAAAGATACAACTGCTATTAATGATCTGACTAAAGACGAAAAAGTAAAGGTAAAATCATTGACAATAACTCCTAGATTTATGCCAGGTCACAAATATGGCTGTGTGATATGAATTAAGATTACTCATCAATTCCAACATTTGTGTGTCCAGTTTGTTAAGTTTTGGATTTAAAGTCATTTCACAGAAAGTAATACCGTATGGCGGTTTTTTTTCGCGGGTGTAAAATTTCGCAATTTAGGGTCAACAAAGTATACGAAAAATTTTGGCGGTTTTTATTTTGGTGGATTCTTAAATACCAATTAAATATTTTGGCGGATACCGAAATGGTTGTAGCTAAAAAGTTGTAAAAATTGACAACCAAGTGTCTATTGTTATTGTTAAATGATTGTTTTGCCTGCATGACGTCTTATTTATTGATTATAAATTGATACAGTTAATCAATAGAATACAGGTGTACACATTTCTTGTAAATATTACGGTTGATTAGTTACGAAATTGATCGGACCTTTGATGTACTAATTAGTTTTAATATAACCAAGAGTGACTTGCAACTCTTAAATATAATTTGACACTAATTGATAAGGGTAAATTTCTGACAGAGTACCTTACACTTATATTATTTGACACTAATAAACTAATTAACACCTATTAGCCATTTTATAAAATATATGTAATACTACGTATAATGCCCTTTTGGCATTTATGTTGTTAAACCTAACATAAACCGTTATTGACCTGCCGAACGAAAAAATACATCGTTTACAATACGCTCCAGCTATTGGAAAGTATCGTACGTATGCATAAATTTTAGCGGAATTTATTTTCGCGATTTTCCCTTATCCGCCAAAATAAGCGAAAATAACCTGCTATACGGTAAATAATGGTGCATTAAATGATAATTTAACATTGAAATATTGTCTATCGTTTACTTGATGCCCAGTGGCAAATATTTCAAGCACATTCAGGATTATTTTCTATTGAAATCCTAAAGTATCGTACCACAGGGTTCAATATTTGAGCCTTAATAACCCAAATATCAAACTTTAATGCTATTTTCAATCTTTTATGATTATTATTTTTTTTAATCTATAACGATATAGAAATAATCTTGTATGGTAATTTTCCATAAGCAGTAAAATACATTTTTATAAACAATTTGAAAAGTTTTAGTACATTTGTACAAAACTTTATGCAGTGTAAACTATATTTAGAATAGAAAAAAAGGTACAGGGTACTTTTTTTTTTTACTAAAATGTATCTTTAATCAGGTAAACAAAGTAGTCAGCCTGCAAAGTGAAATGCATGAATTGTTCTAGTAATTTTGCATTATATCAATGATAAGCAATTTCAAAATCTTTCTTCATTTTTTCCTTTAGGAATTTTTAGTATCATTGGGTGTACATGGAGCCACATTGCGACACAAAATAGTAGAATCAGGTTGCAGTTGGATATCACAGGTATTAGATTATAATGAATATACATAGTTAATAAATGTTTTAGCTTTATATGAGTTAAACAATACAAGGAGTCATGCTATTTAAGGAATGACTGTAATATTTTTTCTGTCTATGAAGAAATAACATCAAAAATGTGGTGCACACTGAATAACCCTTGTAGCGGGTTATTTTAAAGTGTGCACCACATTTTTTATGTTATTTCGAATAGACAGAAAAAATATAACAGTCATTTCTTATAATTTAATTCTTAATTCCATTTAAAACTGGAGTAAATCATGAAAAAACGTTGATGATGTCAAGGTCACATGACAAAATTATGTCTATGAGCTGATAAACAAAACAACGTCAGCCAATCGGAAGACGCGTAACATCCAAAATTAAATTATTAATAAATGGAGATAAAAATGATGATGACTGATGGCTTTTTAACGTCCAGCAGCATAGAGATTTAAGACTAAATGCCAATAAGACAATACCTAAACAGACCACAAACAGAGGTTATCAAACAACATTTGGTAAGATATGAATTGACCTGAGCGCAGCCAAGTTGAGGATGACTTGGACAAGAGTCAAGAACTGATGTCAACATTAAATCTAACTGATAAGACATATATTGGCAACAATTGGTCAACAGAGCAACTATGTAAAGTGTTATACCATAGAAAATATTGAATAGAAGATAAAAAACAAATCTGTTTGTTTAAAAATTTGGGAGAATCTAAAAGAAATAATAATTTTCTCTATCATGGAAAGGAGACTGTATTTTTTGCAATAATGCCAATTAAAAGAACATCATTATGTTATATTACATTCAACATGTAAATTGTTTGTCAAGGCATTTGAAATCAATCTGGATATGTCCTAATTCATCCTTTGTATAAAATATTGATTTTACAATAAGTCATGTAACCAAAAATGATATTGAACTTTGTTTTTGTAGGTGTTAGATCTGTTAGATGCCAAAGATTATGAAGTATTAGGTTATATAGCCCCTAAAGTATTGACAGAATTACATGTACATCTATGGAAATGTTCAGTAGATTATAGGTAAAGTAGAAATTATGAACATTGTTTGTTACTATTAAAAATTTCTAGGAAACTGTCGAAAGAGAAGCATATATAATCTTATCAGAGGCTTTTCAAAAATTATATGATTAAGAATTGCCTGAATGTTAAACTAAAATATTCTTGAGTTATATTTTATTTGTTTTGAATATTTTTTTGGTGAAATTAGTCACTGCATCGTGATTGATCATTCTTATCTTACTTACCATGTTATAGTGTTATATTAATTTTCAGTTGACATTTATCTAAAATTCCTTGCATTATATTTCATTTAATCAGCAATGGAAAAATAAAAATCCAATGTATTGTTCTAATTTTAAATTTTTGGAATTAAATATTTGAATTCAATCATTTATCAGGTGCGGATGCAGAATTTTGAAAAGGGGTCCCCTAGCAATGCAACATTTGCAGTGATACTGGTAAAAAGTCTATGCATTTATCATATTTGAAACTCCATAAGGGGGCCGAGCCCCTTGCCCTCCTAAATATGGTCTGTTTATTGATAGGAATATGTATTGATATATTTTCAGACCATTACAAAACCCAACGAAAGCCCTGCTGAAAGCAGAATCGTTTAGTATATCAAGTAATATTGTAGCTGAATCTTCTACCTCATTGTTAAGGTCTGTATACGTTTTATATACTGTAAATTCAGAAATTATTTCATGTATTTATGATTGCGATTTTGGAAGAATGAACAAAAATGTGAGATTAATTATTGCGATTTTAGGTAAAGCTGAATACATTTTTATGTATCAGATATCAGAATGCATGTTCTTATAATTGCAATACTCACCCAGTCACATTATTCGCATTAATAAAAACCTCGCAATATTTTCTGAATTTACAGTAACAACTTTTCGAATTTATATCACAATTTTCACAGATTAGATTGTAAATCAAGAAGAAATGGTCATTCAGTATAATTTATATAGGTTATACCTAAGTATTGTGTTCTATTTTCAGAACAACATCACCATTGTTTATGTTATATCTATAGTCAACTGCATAGTGTTTAAATGTTACTTCAAGCAAGTACATTGTAGAATTGTAAAACTTGAACGGATCAATGATCAATGGACGTTAAGCAACCAACAATCAATCAATCAATTAATGGATCAATTTTTCTTACAGGTTTGTGTTAGATGATGCTTCATTATTTTTATCACAGTCATCAAAACCAGTCATTAATTTACAGAGAGGTAAGTGTAAAGAGGTCATTTCATTCAGAGATTTCAATTCTCACTAACTGACTTTTAAAATAAGTTGCTGTTAAATATTCAATTTTTTTGCAATTTTGATGATCATTCTGTTTTTCAAAAATTTTAAAAGACTTATCTTGATTTTATAACGATTCTACTTAAAATTACTATGATACTGTGTCTAGGTGTATAGCATTTGATTCAACACCCATTATACGGTTTATTTTGATAGATTATGTATGTGTGGCAGATTTAGAAAGATTTGAACTTGCATTAAGGATGAACGATGGCAAAGAACATGTAAGATACAGTTTATTCTGTTAGAATGCCTTAGTATATAGATATTTCTTATATGTAGAATTCATATGATTTTTTATGCCGATTCCGCACTCTATACTTTACACAACTAAATGTTCTGAGACATATTCACAGTGCTTATTACCACCAAACAATCAAGTTTGAATATGGCTGGTGTCACATTTGCTGTTCTCAGGTTATGTCTCTTTATCAGCAGAGGCATTTATGTCCCATGGACACATTCTTCTTTTATTTTAAAAGCTAAGTACCGATTTCCCTGAAAAAAGAATGTTGATTTGATTTTTTTTATTTTTATACGACCGCAAACAAATTTTGTGGTCGTATATTGGTATGACGTTGGCGTCGTCGTCGTCGTCGTCGTCCGAAGACATACTGGTTTTCGCACTCTAACTTTAGTTTAAGTGAATGGATCTTTTTGAAATTTGACCATAAGGTTAAATACCACAAAAGGAAGGTTGGGATTGATTTTGGGGGTTATGGTACCAACAGTTAAGGAATTAGGGGCCAAAAAGGGGCCAAAAATAAGCATTTTCTAGTTTCCAGACAATAACTGTGGAACGGTGTATGGATCTCTCTGAAATTATACTACAAGTTTCCATACCACAAAGGGATGGTTAGGATTTGCTTTGGGGGGTTATGGCTCAAACCGTTTAGGAATTAGGGGCAAAAAAGGGGGGAAAACAAGGTTGTCCTGGTTAATGGACAAATACTTTTGTACAAAACATAATTTAAAGCAGTGTAAGGGAGATAAATCAAATACATCATTGAGATTATCTCCCTTACTTTAAATTATGTATAAAGTAATGGTTAATGAACAATAAAGATAATTTAAAACAGTGTAAGGGAGGTAATCAAAATACAACGTTTTGGTTACTTCCCTTACACTGCTTTTAAATTATGTTTAAAGAAATGCATATCTATAAAGGAAGACCAGTAAAAATATCTGCAAATGTTGCATCTTTTTTTTTTACAAAAAAATCCATATGAAAGATTTGACAGTATATTTTTAATTCTATTATAAAATAGATTAAGTTAGCACTATGGTAAATTTAAATGGGTAATTATGGTTGCCAACTCCATTGGAAATTTGAATTGAGATTATGACCATATCTTGAGGGAAAGATTTTTTTTGGGGAAAAAAGGGGGAGATAAAAAGAAATTGTGGGGGGGCAATTTTTTCTCATTTCAGATTTCAGAAATTAAAAAGAATTATTCTTCAAATATTATTTTTTTTTCAAATTTCAAATATTGAAAAATTTCAAGAAGTAATCTTTAATTGCACAGTATGGCGCATTAGATTTGTAAAATCTTTGATCACATTTATTTATTTGTTATGCCGAATCAAACAGTGTATTTAAATTTTTAATTTTGGGTCCAGTTTTCAAATTGGTCTACATTAAGGTCCAAAGGGTCCAAAATTAAACTTTGTTTGATTTTAGCAAAAATTGAATATATGAGGTTCTTTGATATGCTGAATCTAAACATGTATTTAGATTTTTGATTTTTTGGCCCAGTTTTCAAGTTGGTCCAAATTGGGGTCCAAAATTAAACTTTGTTTGATTTCAACAAAAATTGAATATGTGGGGTTCTTTGATATGCTGAATCTAACCATGTATTTGGATTTTTTATTTGTGGACCCCGTTATCAAATTGGTTCATATTGAGGTCAAAAGGGTCCAAAATTAAACTTTGTTTGATTTCATCTAAAATTGAAGTATTGGGGTTCTTTGATATTCCAAATCTAACCGTATATTTAGATTTTTAATTTTTGGTCCTGTTTTTTAAATTTGTCTACATTAAGGTCCAAAGGGTCCAAAATTAAACTTAGTTTGATTTTAACAAGAATTGAATTCTTGGGGTTCTTTGATATGCTGAATCTAAACATGTGTTTGATTTTTGATTATGGGCCCAGTTTTCAAGTTGGTCCAAATTGGGGTCCAAAATTAAACTTTGTTTGATTTCAACAAAAATTGAATATATGAGGTTCTTTGATATGCTGAATCTAACCATGTATTAAGATTTTTGATTATGGGCCCAGTTTTCAAGTTGGTCCAAATTGGGGTCCAAAATTAAACTTTGTTTGATTTCAACAAAAATTGAATATATGAGGTTCTTTGATATGCTGAATCTAACCATGTATTTAGATTTTTTATTTGTGGGCCCCGCTATCAAATTGGTCTTCATTGAGGTCAAAAGGGTCCAAAATTAAACTTTGTTTGATTTCATCAAAAATTGAATTATTGGGGTTCTTTGATATGCCAAATCTAACCGTGTTTTTAGATTTTTAATTTGGGTCCCGTTTTTTAAATTGGTCTTCATTGAGGTCCAAAGGGTCCAAAATTAAACTTAGTTTGATTTTAACAAAAATTGAATTCTTGGGGTTCTTTGATATGCTTAATCTAAACATGTGTTTAGATTTTTGATTATGGGCCCAGTTTTCAAGTTGGTCCAAATTGGGGTCCAAAATTAAACTTTGTTTGATTTCAACAAAAATTGAATATATGAGGTTCTTTGATATGATGAATCTAACCATGTATTTAGATTTTTGATTATGGGCCCAGTTTTCAAGTTGGTCCAAATTGGGGTCCAAAATTAAACTTTGTTTGATTTCAACAAAAATTGAATATATGAGGTTCTTTGATATGCTGAATCTAACCATGTATTTAGATTTTTTATTTGTGGGCCCCGCTATCAAATTGGTTCATATTGAGGTCAAAAGGGTCCAAAATTAAACTTTGTTTGATTTCATCAAAAATTGAATTATTGGGGTTCTTTGATATGCCAAATCTAACCGTGTTTTTAGATTTTTAATTTGGGTCCCGTTTTTTAAATTGGTCTTCATTGAGGTCCAAAGGGTCCAAAATTAAACTTAGTTTGATTTTAACAAAAATTGAATTCTTGGGGTTCTTTGATATGCTTAATCTAAACATGTGTTTAGATTTTTGATTATGGGCCCAGTTTTCAAGTTGGTCCAAGTTGGGGTCCAAAATTAAACTTTGTTTTGATTTCAACAAAAATTGAATATATGGGGTTCTTTGATATGCTGAATATAACCATGAATTTAGATTTTTTATTTGTGGGCCCCGCTATCAAATTGGTTCATATTGAGGTCAAAAGGGTCAAAATTAAACTTTGTTTGATTTCATCAAAAATTGAATTATTGGGGTTCTTTGATATTCCAAATCTAACCGTGTATTTAGATTTTTAATTTCAAGTCCTGTTTTTTAAATTGGTCTACATTAAGGTCCAAAGGGTCCAAAATTAAACTTAGTTTGATTTTAGCAAAAATTGAATTCTTGGGGTTCTTTGATATGCTGAATCTAAACATGTGTTTAGATTTTTGATTATGGGCCCAGTTTTCAAGTTTGTCCAAGTTGGGGTCCAAAATTAAACTTTGTTTGATTTTAACAAAAATTGAATATATGGGGTTCTTTGATATGCTGAATCTAACCATGTATTTTGATTTTGGACATTGGACCATAATAGGTAAATTAAAAAAATTCAAGTTCTTAGACCACATTCTTTCTGTGTCAGAAACCTATGCTGTGTCAAATATTTAATAACAATCCAAATTCAGAGCTGTATCAAGCTTGAATGTTGTGTCCATACTTGCCCCAACTGTTCAGGGTTCGACCTCTGCGGTCGTATCAAGCTGCGCCCCAGCGAAGCATTTTATTTATTTTTGAAAGACCGTGTTTAATTTAACATTTAGTCTTAGGCTTTAAATTCTATATGCCTCAAGTTTCTGATAAAATGATGAGTTTCATTGCTTAATGATGCTAAATAAGTCATAATAGGTTGGATATATTTTTTAACTGAGATATTACTATCCTCACATGCTTCTAGTTGATAGAAACAGTAAGTTTTGAATGTTTTTGCCATGAATATACAAACAATGATGTTCTCAAAATTTGTTTACAGAAATTTCCAAAGACAGATTTCAAAGTATCAACAAATCGTTTAAATATAAGGACATGTTCAGATTCCTGTAAAGCTTTGATGGATCTGATTCGATACTTTGCTACAGATGGTGATTTAGATGTAGAAGAAGCAGAAGATTTAAATTCTACTGGTACCTCTGATGATATTATCTCTACTGACAATGTAAGGCTCTTCTTTACAAATATGAACAATTGATAAACATAAAATAAGAAAATACATGAATGAATTGGTTATTTGTATTTCAATTTATAAAACTATATATAGCAGAAATCATTTATCTCCTGAATTAAGAAAACTGTTTTCTTGCAAGTTTTTTATTTCTTATTAAATTTTTACAGACTCATTTTAAAAAATTGTTAGCTATGGGAATCAAATTGCTACAGTGAAATAGTTTTATTCTGAGTTCTTCATCTTACTTGACTTGACTTGTACAATTTTGAAGTCAATGCCTTTCAATTCCTTCATAAAAAAGCAGCAATGACAATCTAAATAGAAGTGGAAACTTTCAAGAAGATGTGTCAAATACTAAATTATCATTGACCTTTAACCAAGACAATGGTGATTGTTAATTATATTGTAAAGGCATATAAAGACACCGTAAATATTTGTATATATTCTTTTAAATGAAGCATATGTTGACACTTACTCAAACCCAACAAATATTTTTACCAAACATGATCAATAAGTTATAAAATGTCATTTTTGCCAAACAATAAAAAATCGGCCATTGCTTTCATTCCAAATTTTTTAGTATTGTCATTCAGTGAAATCTGTTGAGTATACAAGTGAAAAATGGTGTAACAAACTTGTCCTTATGAATTGTTATTGGCTTGTTATAAGCATTATGTTGAATTTCTATAACTTATGTCTTTTGATGTATTTTATTTAAGAGCCAACAAACAATAGATGATGACAGTGAGGATGATAGAAGTGGTCTGTCTGAATCCAGATTAGAACAGCTACATACATTGGTGGAGGATGCCATGCAAGAATCAGGTGCTATAACCAGCCCAGGTCAGTTTTAATATTAGGAGAGAGTTTATGAAGAGGGCAATGTGGATTAAGAATTTTCTTTTATAGAAGTATAGAAGATATGTAAACACTGAAACCTGTTGAATTTAAATTGTCCAGATTTAACTTGAATCAAATTGATATATTCACATTTGTTCTAATTCTACTCCTGAATAAGAAACTTTTATGGTTTTCTGGTTTTACCAGCTCTTTATACACACTTCCAAGGACACTTACAAAAAAATTCTGTGATAGCATACACAATGTTGATATGCTGGTTTTGCCAGTTCTTTCATACACCCTCTCAAGGGACTTACCAAAAATTTCCATGATAGCATTATTTATGCTAATATATATCTCTTTTTGTCCATAGATAAGCCAGAGTCATCTGCCCATAGAACAGAAGTATTTTTCACCACAGAAGGAGGTATGGGTGAGGTGCCCCATGCAGGGATGATGCGACCGATAGTGATTTCAGCTAGCGCTGATTCTGTAGCTAGCACATGTAGTGGTGTGTCAGAAAATTTCAGTGATGATGAAGATTTCTGTATTATTGATGATCCAGGAATAGGTATCGCTGTAAGTATGTCTAAAACTGTAAATCCAATTTCTTCATTTCCCTTCTGCTTGACAGAAGCTTATAATTTTTTTAAATTACTAGTAATCTCTCTCCATTATCTAACACAACTCTCAGTATTATAGACATTTGTATATGTAAATCTTATGACAGTCAGCATTGTGTTGGCACTACATAATTTAGAATTGTTTTGTTTTGTTTTACCAATGAAATAAAATGTGGAATGGATACTGTTACATGTCTGTAGGTATGTCTACTTGTTGGTATGTATGCTTGTAAAAACTTTCATAAAACAAAACTATATAAACTAGTCAAGAAACAACCCATGCATAAATGGGAGGTATCTATTGCAACTTATGACACGAACAAATCCTAAAGAATGAAAAAGAAAAAATATAGAAATTGTATGAATTTCAGCCAAAAGATGGTGAGCCATGTGTAAGAGTTTTCACAACAGATCCTATAGAAATTAAGGACAATCACTTCAGTCAACCAACAGGTAAAACAGACCTACTGAAAGCCCCTGATCACTATCCTACTGCTGAATATAGATATACACTGAAGGAACTGACTGTCGTCTGGTACATGTATGGAGGAAGGGATTTTAGTGATGCTCCTAATTCTACATCTTTAGGTATGTAATCACATATTTGGAGAAGATACAATATAAATGTTTCTAGTTTACAGATTTTAATATTTATAATATATTTACCGTATATCTGGATATTTTTGTGTGTTTTAAATTTTGAATTTTCATGGTAGGCAGTTTACTGCAAACTTTACCCTACTAGAACATTTCACTGTTTATTTAAATGTTGATCAGATCAGTGTAGTGTAAAGCAGGCTTTAAATCCATATTACTTTAAGGTGTTGTCATCCTTAATATACTTTAAAGATTACATGCTGGACATTTAGCATTTAAACCATCCATAACCATGCATAAATTTTTATTTGTTTTTATTTTAGATAAAGATACTACCATGTCTTTCAAACCTGAGAAGAGGTAAAGAATTTTATTTATTTTGTTTTCAACAATTTATTTTGTTTTCAACAATTTATTTTGTGTTTAGTTTTTCTGCCAGACCAAGGTCATACATTTTTTTTTCTGGGAAAAAAAATTTGATGTTTACACTGACCATTGATGCTACATGCCAACACATAAATTTTGGAAAAAGGGATATTTGGTAAATGGACAAAAAACATAATTCCAATAGCACACTGAGAAAAAGCCATAATTCAAAGGAACATAGTTTTTTTTCTTTCTTCAGGCCTTCAATGTTTACTCCATATGTGCTTAATTAGTTCCATTGGACAACTAAGTCAACTAAGTCAAAGTGAACTAAATAGTCGTTAATGCTCTGTATGTCTACAGGTCCACTGCATTTGACAGCTTTTGTTGTCATTATTTGTCTATCTGTTGTTAGCTGTTTTGATGATGTGCAGAACCTCCCTTAAAAACCTACTCTGAAAAAAAAATGACTAGGGTTTCCTAGTTACTAGCCTAAACTGTAATTCCTATGGAGATCATTAAGTTCAAAGTATATAAATAAGATGGTGTGGTATGATTGCCAATGAGACAACTATCACCAAGAAACCAAATGACTTGGATGCTGGTTAAAAAACATTGATATGTTATCTGTATCTACTCATTTCACCTTAAAATACCAAGAACCAGCACAATATTTGCAAGGACAGCAAAAAAGTAGAATGGAAAGCTGACATTTTCATGGAAAAAATTCACATGTGTTCATTATTTTTTAGTACTTATGTTTTATCATGAACTTTAATTAGATGTTTATATATTTTCAGTGATAGCAAACATCAAATAAGAATGGGATATAGACCAAAGCTTCCTGGTTCTGACAGATTATCAGCAAAAGTTAGAGGTGGACCAGGTAGAGATCATGATGTTCTTATGGAATTACAACTCACCAAGGTAACTTTTCATAGCATGTATGTCTGATATTTGAAAAGGATTAAAGCTGTTGCATTTATTTCCTACAGCTGGTTACAGTTTGTAAATGGGGGTCAGCATTGTTTTAATTGTGAATTCATTATGTGTCAGTCATTTTTATACGACCGTCGTATATTGGTATGACGTTGGCGTCATCGTCGTCGTCGTCCGAAGACACATTGGTTTTCGCACAATAACTTTAGTTTAAGTGAATGGATCTCTATGAAATTTTACCATAAGGTTCAATACCACAAAAGGAAGGTTGGGATTGATTTTGGGGGTTATGGTACCAACAGTTAAGGAATTAGAGGCCAAAAATAAGCATTTTTCTAGTTTCCAGACAATAACTTGTGGAACGGTGTATGGATCTCTCTGAAATTATACCACAAGTTTCCATACCACAAAGAGATGGTTAGGATTTGCATTGGGGGGTTATGGCTCAAACCGTTTAGGAATTAGGGGCAAAAAAGGGGGAAAAACAAGGGTGTCCTGGTTAATGGACAAATACTTTGGGGGGGTTAATACGCAACTGTATAGTGTATTGCACAAAAGCAAAAAAATAAAAGGGGGGTAATTTTTTTTTTTTTTTTTGTGGGGGGAGGGGGGTCAATTCGCAACAGCAAAGTGTATTGTACAAAAGCAAAAAATTGAATATAATTTCAAATCATATAACCAATTCTAAGTTCTTTGACTACAGTTATTCTGTGTCAGAAACCTTTTATGTGTCAAATATTTAATTACAGTCCAAATTCAGACCTGTATCAAGCGCGAATATTGTGTCCATTTTTGCCCCAACTGTTCAGGGTTGGACCTCTGCGGTCGTATCCAGCTGCGCTCAGCTAAGCAATTTATCTTGTTTGTGAATAGCTGAGAGTGAGTTAGTATGCACAAGAGATGGACCTTAATGCATTGTTATTCAGCAATGTCCAATCCTTTCTTTGGATGTGATATAAAGCATTGATAGGTAGTATTCAAATTTTTGTAAAAAATTTTGGACTACCAATCAGAGAGTTAAAATGGCTAGGAATTGCTTAAAATTCTTATTAGAATGTTTTTGTCTTTGTTTAAAGTTTAAAACAACATTAATTATTTCATTCCATGACTATTCTACAGATCAGAATGCAGCATGAAACCTACCCAAGTCATACAGAACAAGCCTCTAGACAAATCTTAGTGATTAGTGACGTAGAGATTCGAGATAAACTGACTGTGTCTAGTATTAACAAACTGCTGTATCAGTATTCATCAGAAACTCTTCCTAAACAAACTAATTCGAATATGGTAAGTTAAAATTTGTTTATTGTGAAAAAAAAGAAGTTGACCATCAATCATTCAATAAGTTTATTTTTGAGGACCTTAAACCTTTAGTCTAACTTTAATTGTGATGTATTTTCCTACAAACTTGTGGAATATGTACACAGAAATTTTATGTTTTAATTTTGATTAAGTTTCACATCATGTTGCTGTACATGTTTCATCCAGATTATTTTTTCAATGTATACATTTATGTTGATACAGGTGTTAATAAAAGCCATCCATGTTAGACCTGACCCATCGATCAACTCACAAGAATGTTCATTACGAATATCTGTTCAGCCATTAAGACTTAATGTAGATCAGGTATATATAACTAACCGGGATGATATATTACAAGAAGGGTACAGAAAAATTTTCTTTCAAGGGCCATAACTCCTTTAAGGGTCAATTGACGATTTCTTCAATGTTATATTATATATAGAATTATTGTTCTAATTAATATTACTGTTTAAAATTGTATCTTTCTATAATAGCTTTCAACATTATAACCAAAATTTGTTAAAAATTGAAAAATGACTTCATAACATCCAATTTTAATCCAATAAAAACAAGACAAACCCTGAAAACATTAATGATAAGTGATAATAACTTTAGATTCAGGGGTGCCCCTAGTGTAGCAGGAACCGCTAACCTTTTTGGAAAATCAAGAGTATTCCAAGGTCAATTAAAATCCTTATATCTGTTTAACTTCTGTAATTTAGGATTGAAACTACTTTATACTGTCCTTGTATGTTCTATAGAAAAATAGACCTGCCAGCTAAGCAAAGGAAAAAATTGTACTAACTCAGTTCACTCTCTTATATTTTTAGGATTCATTATTTTTCATGAGGGACTTTTTCACCGAGTTAAGTGGAGGTACTGTAGAACAAGTTGTACCTATGGAGAAAGAAACAGAATCAAAACCAAGGTCAAGGACACCCTCTGGTGCTAGTGCTCCTTCCCCACCACAACCAGTTATGACTGTTGGTCTTCCAGAAGCCCTGGAGGAAGACACAGATCCACAAGAACTTTTAATGATGTTTGATGAAGTTCAGGATTTACAGATGAACACATCTAGTGATGGAGAACATACACCTCGACCTTGTTCCTCTGAGCCAACAATAGAGCCATCTAGTCAGCCAATATTTATAAAGTAAGTCCATTGTTGTTCTCTTTGTGAAGTCAAAGTTCTAGTAATTTCAAATAAAATACAAGCAGGTATTATAGTTATTACCACTGAGGTTTGACAACACATTGACTGTCAGTGTGTTGTCATACCTCAGTGGTAAGAACTATAATATCTGCTTGTATTTTATTTTTAAGTGGTAATTATTTTGTTGTGAACTCTAAAAAAGGTTTATGCATTACAAGAGGTCAGCAATTGGCTGTCTCCATGTATAAGTTTTACAAAAATGATTTTTTTTCAGACCAACCAAAACTCTCACACATGGTTATCATGTTCTTAGAAAAAATAAGTTCAGTATTAATTTTACCTCGAGCTATTTAGAAATGTGTTCAGTACTGAAGTCAATATTTGCAGGGTGAAACAGATTGCTTCTAGTGGCTATACCTAAGATTCATCTGAGCAATTTTGATGTCAACATCAGCTACTTTAAAAACTGTCTTAAGTTTAAAATAGAATTGTACAATTCCAAAAAAAAAAACACTTGTAAAATTTATGGTATAATAATAAAATTTGACAGTTATACATTTATTAACAAATTATCTTATTGCACTCTAAAAATTTTCCTATATTTATGACCTTCCAAATCATTTATGGTTTTCAAACAAAAGACTAAAAAATTAAACCCATCAAACAAACACACAAGTAAACAAAACAAAACCAAAGATGCATTTAGTGTTATTTAAGGAACTGAGATAATAGACCAATTTATAAACATGAATTTTAATATTTTCAGGTCTTTCATATTTTCTCCTGATGTGCCAATTCGACTGGATTACCATGGTAAAAAGCGTGTTCTCTCAGAACATGTAAGTTAAAAAATAAAGATTAAAGCTAAAATCTGAGATACAGACAAAACTAGCTTCACATTTTATTTATATTATCTTTGTTTTGTATGATTTTTTGATGAAATACCATATTGTTAGAACTGTTAATAGTAATCCTCGTAATATATTATCTGTATCTTGATGATAAAAATTTTCTGATCAAATGACCCAATTTTAAGGTGTTGCATAAAGTTTAACCATTTTATTGACTTATGCAATCATACAGTAACTTCTCAAAAGGTTTTAATTAAAGAAAAGGTTTCGATTAAAAAAAAAACTTGTTATCAATTGTGTAGAATATCTTAGATTTAATATATATACGGTAATATTTGATGGTTACTCTTGTGATTTTTCAGGGAACATTAGTTGGATTACTATCAGGCCTTGCCCAGTTGAATTGTTCGGAGTTACAACTAAAGAAATTGACTTACAGACATGGGTAGGTTTTTGATAGAAGGGAAACTGCCAACAGATTCCTTGTACTTTCATACTTGTATGCAGATATTTTATTAGAGTTATTTTGGTGTACATTAAGAGCACTTAAAGCACAAGTTAATTGCACAATAGTAATCCCCTACAACAAAGTTGTTTAATTGGATGCTGTAAAGTGGAAATTTTCACAAGGGGTTTATTTTTTGTAGTTTGGCTATTAAGATGAAATTGTGAAGATATCCCCTTGTGTAAATTATTTTTTTTTTTTTTAAAGATCTTTAGAATCACAGACAAAAATAGTTAGGACATAAAATTTCATGAACAGGTTTTGAACTAGAAAATGAGAAATGTAAACCTCCCTATAGTATTATATTGATATTTACCTCCATGAAGTATAAGTTTTTGTTTTTATATCTGTTTTTAACTTCTACTTGCCATTTGGATATTTGAGAATTCAGGTAATTAGCTTGTAGACATTGTACAGATTCACTGGCATGTTCTGATTTCTCAATCTTCAGGCAGAATCATTATGTAGAAAGGTGTCCTCCCTAATTGATTTTCAAGGTCAGAGGTGAAAAAGTAATTGAAAAGAAAACAAGACGTTACAGCTTAAATTGCATGATCTGTTTGTACCAGACTTGTATACAATTTAAATCAAGACTTTGTATTATGTTGTAGATTACTAGGGTTAGATAAACTGGTGACCTACTGTATAAATGAATGGTTAACAGATATTAAAAAGAACCAGTTAGCCAGTGTACTGGGTGGTGTGGGACCAATGCACTCATTTGTACAGTTAGGTATGTAAATAGAATAGTTCTTATGTAAGGAGTAATATAGAGAGATAAGGGGTAGATGTCATACGAGACATCAACCCCTTTAAAACAGCACAATACAACAAGAAGTGAAACCTGAAGGTCACCATATTACCTTGAGCAATGAATTGGCAACTATATACTAAGATCTAAACTTCCCTAAATTAATTAGCGACAGCCAGAGATCTTATTCTGTAAATTGACAATAGATATAATGAAATTAAATTATTTTCAAGGAGCAAAAGATGGATTAAGTTAAATTGTCCATATTTGTAAAGTTAAAATATCCTCAATCATAACAGCTGGTTACCAATTATAAAAAAAACCTGAAATTATGCTTAGATGTAAATCAAAAGAAGCCAATAAAAAACAGGAAAAAGTCTTTTAAAATTTCAGAAAAGATATTGATGCTTAAAGTAAAAATTCAACAACAAAACTAAGATGTATTAGGTTAAAGTTTAAGAGAAAAGATAGATGTGTAAGGGAAATCTAAGATTGAAAGGTACATCAATCTAGTTGGTCAACCATTGAATAAAAAATGTTTTCCTGTTATTTTTAGCATTACATTAGAAAAAATTCAATGTCACAGACCCAAAGTGATTGTTTTACTAACATCATTTGGGTAATTGTTTTTACGAAAATGAGTTCAGATAAGGTAAAGTCACTAGAAATTGTAGTATTGACATTAAATAGGGAGATGAATGCACACTTCTATTGTATGTACATGTCCAATCAACCAGTAATCTGTTGAGTGGTTATTTCTATATGTCATATAGTGGTATGACGTTGGCGTTGTCGTCGTCGTCGTCCGAAGACACATTCGTTTTCGCACTCTAACTTTAGTTTAAGTGAATGGATCTCTATGAAATTTTACCATAAGGTTCAATACCACAAAAGGAAGGTTGGGATTGATTTTGGGGGTTATGGTATCAACAGTTAAGGAATTAAGGGCCAAAAATAAGCATTTTTGTAACTTCCAGACATAATTTGTATGTTAGTGTATGGATCTCTCTGACATTGTACCACAAGGTTCCATATCACAAAGGAAATGCTGGGATTGATTTTGGGGGTAATTGCCTCAAAATTTTAGGAATTAGGGGCCAAAAAAGGGGCAAAAAACAAGCATTTTTCTAGTTTCATGACAATAACTTGTGTGTAAGTGTATGGATCTTTCTGAAATTGTACTACAAGGTTCCATATCACAAAGGAAAAGCTGGAATTGAGTTTGGGGGTAATTGCCCAAAACGTTTAGGAATAAAGGGCCAAAAATAAGTATTTTTCTAGTTTCCAGACAATAACTTGTGTTCAAGTGTATGGATCTCTCTGAAATTGTACTTCAAGGTACCATAACACTACGGGAAGGCTGGGATTGATTTTGGGGATAATTGCCTCAAAATTATAGGAATTAGGGGACAAAAAGGGGCAAAAAACAAGCATTTTTCTAGTTTTAGGACAATAACTTGTGTGTAAGTGTATGGATCTTTATGAAATTGTACTCCAAGGTTCCATATCACAAAGGGAAAGCTGGGTTTGAGTATGGGGGTATTGCCCTAAACGTTTAGGAATTTGGGGCCAAAAAGGGGCAAAAAAACAAGCAATTTTCTAATTTCCAGACAATAACTTGCGTTCCAAGTGTATGGATGTCTCTGAAATTGTACTGCAAGGTACCATACCACAAAGGGAGGTCTGGGGTTCAAAAAATTGGGGGGGGGGGGGGGGTTTCCTTTTTTTCCTTTTTTTTCTTTAAAATTTTCCATTTTAAATTGGTTATTTCTGATTTATATATAAAAGCAAATAATAATGATATGGTTTGAATAGGTAAATTAAACATTTTTAAGTTCTTAGACCACATTCATTCTATGTCAGAAACCTATGCTGTGTCAAATATTTAATCACAATCCAAATTCAGTGCTGTATCAAGCTTGAATGTTGTGTCCATACTTGCCCCATATGTTCAGGGTTTGACCTCTACCGTCGTATCAAGCTGCGCCCAGCGGAGCATTTTATTCAACCATACTAAAGCTTTCTTAAATAAATTTTAGCTAATTTACTAACAAAGTACCAGTATATTTCAAAGGGTTTTTTATGCCTGCTATTTTTGTCCCATTATACGACTTCTGGTCCTGTGATTTTCTGAAAATTAATTGTTGTCTTAAATACTGCACACAGAACATTCACTATGTATTGCACTTTGTGTAATGGCACGTCACCTCGATGTGTTACTATAGCTTTCTAATACATCTATCAAATGGTCAAGACGTCTTTTCTTTCAATCAACCACTTTATGATAAGGATTTAATCTGTTTTATAACTTGTTTTAAATATCTTTCAGCACAAGGTGTAAAAGATTTGTTCTGGTTACCAGTTGAACAGTACAGAAAAGATGGTCGTATTGTTCGAGGATTACAGAGAGGAGCAAGTTCCTTTTCCACTTCAACTGCTATGGCATTCCTAGAACTGACAAATCGTGTTGTTCAGTCTGTTCAGGTAATGATGTCTTATATGGGAAAACATTTTGCAAAATTTTGTGCTGTAGATAGGTAAATAGTTATATGCAAAACCACACAAAGAGCAAATCAACAATATCAATGTGAAGTGTACACTTTAATATTGTTCTATGCGCAAATTTTAACTCGTACACAAAATGTTTATACATTGAAGTCGCAATCAAAAGTATCCACAGGGTTACAATATCTAAATTTCTATAGGTTTTCCTGATTGTGTATATCTTCCCAAAGCTAAGTTGTGGTAAATGGTAATCAAAAAATGATATTTTTTTCACAGATGTTTCTCATTCTTTAAATTAAATGGAAAATTAGTTTTCTGATTCACAGTTTAGAAATTGCTGAAATTTTTTCTTACATTAGTTAAGTCTTGAAAATTCTAATTTTGCAATACCATGATATGTCGTCATACATTAAATGGAATTACCAAAATTTTTCGACAATACAACAGACCACACAAACCAATGTAGGGATCTGGAATCTATGTCACCTATCTCCCTTGTTATTATTAATTTTTCTGGTAAATCTAATTAATGTGAGGAGCTTAACAAAGGTTCTTTGAAAAGAAACAAAAATAGAAACATTAAAAAAACTGTTCTGAATGACCTTCAATTCACAGAAAAAAAGAAAGTTTCGTTATAAAATGCTAACAGGGTTATAATGATAATGAAATATACCATTGTTTTACAGTATGTAGCTGAGCTAACCTATGATATGGTGTCACCAGGTCCAAGTGTTAGAATTCAAGGTCACAGAAGACGTAAAAAGTATGGAAGGAAAGGACAACCATCAGATCTGAGGGAAGGGTTGTCTAATGCGTATGTTGTATTAAGAGAGGTTTGTTTTGTTTCTTAATTTTATGAATCAAATCATAGATTAAGGTTAGAAAAAAAGTCTGATAAATGGCAACAATTTATTCAGAAAACATCAGAACAGTAAATGTAAAGGGTAAAATCTATGTTTCCACTGTGTGTTCGCCTTTTATTGCCATTTTATAGAATTTCAGAATGTAGATGAAATTTTGAGTTGTCTTGTCTATTAAGTCTGTGCACGGACTTATCGGATGAACAAAATAACTGGATTTGACCGCATATATTTTGGAGAAATATACTAGTTATGTGCTGTTCTGAAGTTGACTGTGGTAATCAAAGTTGTGGGAACATTGCCGCTTACATCCTATTCAGGAATAAATTACCTTAGCTGTATTTGGCAAAACCTTTTGGAATTTTAGGTCAATGCTCTTTAAATTCGTACTTTATTTGGCCTTATCAACTTTCTTGATTAGAACGTCACTTTGTACTATCATTCATAGAGAACCCCTAGCTTGAATTCAGTTATTTTTCAATTCTGTCTTTGCCATAAAAAAATCAATATACATGATATAATGATCATATATATAATTGCTTAATAGGGAAAATTTCTCCAAACAGTCCTTTGATTAATAATTAGCAATTGACTGTCATAGTCCAGACTTGTTCAGAAACTTTCAAAAAGGAAACAAAGATTGTGTATAAATGTTACAAATTATTGTAATGAATGGAGAATCCTCCTTATATATGTACAATATTTGCCTTTTTATGTTAACCAACATCCAATCAATCAATCAATATGAAAAAATGTAATTACAGGGACTATCTGAACAAGCACAGAACTTTATGGAGAGTGCTAATACAGAACATGAACAAAAAGGTGTGACAGGCGTTGTAGGTGGTGTCATGAGACAGATCCCATCTGCAGTTATCTCCCCATTAATTATAGGACCTGATGCCCTGTCTAATGTTTTGGGAGGTGCTAGGAACCAGCTGAGACCAGATGCTAAGAAAGAAGAAGAGGAGAAATGGAAGCTTGAACCAACATAGTGAATTTTTACAGTGTTGTTTGACCGGTGATCAGGTTGTTTGTGTTCAAATGAAAAAATGAACCAAATTAAGTCTTTCAGTCCTTACTATGTGATGTGATATTGGAATGGTGATTGAAAGAAGTCTTGACTAATGTAAGGTGTGAAATTGTCAATCTGATTAAAAAACAGATCCTGTTTTCTACGCTTTGCTTACAAAGATCTTAAAACACTCCGTTTTGCTTTCTGTTCTGGTAATTATTACATCAGACAATGAAATTTCAGCCTTCAAATTTTTGAAGGTGTGTATTAATCCGACAAAACCAGAGGATCCCCAAAAGTCTTTTAAAACAGGAAGTTGAACGGAGCGTTTTCAGATCCTTGTAATCAAAGCTTGGACACAGAATCTATTTTTATCAGATTGCGAAATTGTTACACGTAAAATGTATAAGTGTACATGTATGTTAGTGTGAAAGACATTTGTTTACTTCATCTAGTCTGCTTTTAAGGATACTGGTATATTAACTATATGATGTTACAGATTTTGTTATTTAGTTTCAGATAATTTGAAAGTGTTTTGTTTTTATTGTAAATGTTAGTCATTTTTAGATTGTGAGAATTAACTTATATTATATTTAGAATATAGTTAAACATGCTCCTGTGAAAAATCTTCAAAGAAAAATATTTTTTGCAAAGCTCAGAGAAAAATCTTTTTACAAACAGAATCTCCATTAAGAGGACAGTTTTGTATAAATAATTAGCTTTTAATATACTGGTAAGGTTGACTGTTTATTTTCTTCTGTCAAACAAAGTGAATAATTATATTCAATGTTATAATAGGTTGACTTGTATCTGACAAACAAAGATCAATTGATGCATTATAAGCAAAAATAATTAAAGTTGGATTCATAAGTTTAACAGTAGACCTTAACAAAATATGATGAAATTGTTACTGTTTTAAACTTGACTTTTACAAAATCTATGTATAATATGGTAGTTGTGAAAAGTCCTAAAGTAAAAAAGAGAACAAATAAAGAAAATAAAATTCAGAATTGTTTCAAAGGTTATTGTAAATAACATGTTATACCCTTTGCTTATTAAAAGTAGGGATTATAAAGGGATAGATGTATGTGTTTGTTCATGTTTCTGTACATTTTATTCATTTAAAGGGATTAATGTGGTTACCAATGTCTAAATGTTAACCTTTTTCTGGGAATACAGGGTTTATTTATTAGTTGAAATTTGCTTTGAACTAGCTTTCAGAAACTACAAGTACTTTTAGATTGATACCTTGTGACTTTTGTCTTGTTGTTAGTTGTAATGTGTACTATGTGTTGATCTGATGAGTCAAACCCTTTCCAACTGATTTTATTTGTTTGTTCCTATGTAATGCTGTTACACTACTGTCCAAAGGTATGGGAGAGTTGAGGCCTAGCAAACATGCTTAACCCCACGAAATTCTTGATGTGCCTGTCTCAAATCAGGAGGCTGTTATTCATTGGTTGTTGTTGGTTGCTGTCTGCCATGTGCTTTAGGCAATAACCAGGTCGTTTCCTTTCTCTTGAATTGTTTCACATTTTGTCATGCTAGGGCCTTGTATAGTTTACTAATTGGTATGGGTTTACTAATTATCGATGGACGTATTGCAACCTGCAGTTGTTTACATCCTGGTCCTTCAGTGTATGGTGGATAGTCGTCTCATTATCAATCATACCACATCTCCTTATTTTTTTATTATCGTTAGTCATATCTCCAATAAGGGGTAGGCATCTTGTACCAATACCATTCTTTAAACCATTATTAAATATTTCACTGACAATTTTTAAACAGAATCTTTCTTACATAATGCATTTGTGCACTTCCTATTTTTGTTTTTGACTGAATGATTTTCAGGGTATTTTATAGTAAAACATGGATTTTGGGAAATCTATACAAAAGAAGGAGCAGGGGATTGTTTATTTAGCTCTGCTAAAAAAAATTCTGGTTTGGGATGAATTGTGAACTCTACTAGTTTGTGATAACTTTGGTTGTGTACTTGCATTTGATGTATTGTATAGCATATATACAAGATTGTAAATAGTTTTAATCTTTATTTATTTGTTTTTTCCTCAATATTATTTTATTGCAATGATTTGTATGTATTATGTAATACCCTAGTGATTATCAAGCAGGGCTTTCAGTTTTTAGTCTGATAGACTTAAAATTCTAAATGTTATTTTCAACAGGATCAACTTTACTTTTTTGGAGTAAATCTAAAACAAATTTTAGAAATGAAATTGTATGATTTTACATGGTCAGGACATCAAATGCAGGGTTTACACAGGTTTCTGAAATCCTTGGAAAGTATGGGAAAATAGAATCAGAAAATTTAGCCCAATAAAGAATACATAAATATCCTTTTCATATTTTCAACCATTTGGCACTATATGATGTATATATATTTATGTAAAAAATAACTCCTTATTTTATCTTTACATTTCTTTAACATATGACTACTAACAACAAACATTTTATAGAAATTTATTTAAGTTGATGGGGAATAGATTTCAACTGCAAGAAGGAACATGTATTTTCATCACTAGAACAGGTATTTTAAATTTTTGTCCAGCAAAATCAAGAATGAATGGTTGGCTTTTCAAGGTTAAATTTAAAGTTACGTTTGAATGATCTCCACATAAGACAATGACTTTTGTGTTTATTTCATGGAACAGTTCACCTTCCAAGAATTTATATACCCTGATCAAAACACAAACTGATTCTCATGAAAGGTTTTATTTCCTTTGGAATTTTTCAACCACTTTAGTCTATAAACAATATTTCCCTGAGTGCTAACAAGCACTTTGAATTTGTATTGCTTTTTGATTTGAACTATTTAAGTTTTCATTTAAAGACTTTTATCTAGATTCTAGAATACATGTAACTGTTGTATTGGTGATTGATTAAAGGTGCTATTACTGCTTTTGATTTGTAATTCTTAAATATATTCATTTTATTAAATGTGTATTTGATGTATTTAGTTTTGGAGAATGTATGAAGTATTTCATATAAAGATTGAAATAACTTGTTTCAGTTCTCATGACCCAGAGGACCAAGATAGCAATTTCAATCCCTTTTTATTATCTGTTCTTCAAATATGAATTAAAAACTTCTGTCTTAATAATGTAGCCAATTACTAAACTTTTACTTTAATCTATGCCACCACCAATACTAAAAGTTTAAAATTTTACAGCAAATTGAGTTTAAACCAAACTTAACCATAATCATATGAATGGGAAGTACTAAATGTATATCCTAGTCGTATTTGAAAACTATCCTCTGAACCAATATGTATTTTCGATTTTCATTATTAACATATGCATAAATTCCATATGAGAGGAACAGCCTTCTTTTAAGAGATTAGTTCAGTATTATATATTTTTAGATTGTATTATAAAAAGGTCACAAAAAACATTAACACTATTTAAATATCCATTCCCTCAAAACATGGTCCCCAGATTCAGACTTTTCCATTTATCCAATTCATGAAACATGCACGGTTTTGATGAAAGTATTTTAAGGGATCAAGCAAGAAATAATGACAACATCCATGCTACATGATTTATTATGTGCTATTGGTACATGTCTCCCTTCATTTTAATATAAAGGGGATCTCACAAGAAATGAAAGCTACAATAAATTAGTACCAGATGGATAAACCCCAAATTATACAGTCTATAACCAGGTTTCATTGGTAAAAATAATGTTCCCTTGTAAATATTAAATAATGTTTGCATCAGGCTGTTATGTACTACTCACACTTCAAATTGTTATTGTTTTTCTTGATTTTTATTTCATTACCAGTTATAAAGATGCATGTTTTTATATAGTAGAAATTACCAAGTCTTTACATGTTGTTTTTGAATGATCCCAATATTTGAATCTTCATAGGAGATGCATAATAAAAGGAAAATAATAAAATGACTATCATAAAGTACGTTTTATTGTTTGTTTATTTGCCATCATAACTAGTGTAAAACAAATGTGTTTAGTTGTGTAATCAACATTTAGTCAGTCTGATATTTAACCTAGTCCATGTTTTCAAATGACTAATCAGTTCAATTGAATTTTTATGCCCCCGCCGTACATCCGTCCGTACATCCCAAAGTTGGTTTCCGTTCTCTAACTTTAGTTTGCCTAAACCAAATGCTATGAAACTTATACACAATGCTTATTAACACAAAACACAGATCAAGTCTGAATTTTGGTGGTGTCACTTTAACTGTTCTAGAGTTATGCCCCTTTACAAATGGGAAATTGCTGAATTTTTCATTTCCGTTCTCTAAATTTAGTTTGCCTCAACCAAATGCTATGAAACTTGTATACACTGCTTATTACCACAAAATACAGATCAAGTTGGAATTTTGGTGGTGTCACTATAACTGTTCTAGAGTTATGCTCCTTTACAAAGGGAAAAATTGCTGAATTTTTCGTTTCCGTCCTCTATTTTAAGTTTGCCTCAACCAAATGTTATGAAACTTATACACAATACTTATTACCACAAAACTCAAATCAAAATTCAAATTTGGGTAGCATCACTTTTACTGTTCTTAAGTTATGTCCCTTTATAACTTTATATGATATGCAAGCGGGGCATCATCTGTGTCCCATGGATACATTCCACATTTATTTTCTAAGAGATTTGCCAATGACAATCTATACAATAGAGTTCTTTATTGAAACACAGATTAAGGATGAACAGCAGTAATGCAGCAACCGTGCAACTTCAAATAACTGTTGAGATAAACATAGCCTAATCCAATTATAAATTCAAAAGCATCTATAGACTGGGCCAAATATTACAGAGATTACTCATAATGAATACATGTATAATCAATTTTGATATTTTATTTTTCTTTATTTTCCACAGATTTTACACTTGGTAAATGTTTATCACTTTCAGTTTTATGTCTCTTATGTGTTATTTTGTTCATTCTCTCAAGGCAAACCTTAGCAATTTCCTGCAGGTCAGGCTGAAAGGATAAAATAAAGATTACAATTAATGTACTGAAAAAAAAACATATTCAATTCAAATGCTTTGTGGGACCATTTAATTGTTTCTTTTTTAACAACACTGAACATTTCTATTTTTACTCTAGTATAAGTAATATTTCTGGACACATTTAAATGACAATTCAATTTTTTAAAAACCTCCTTTATGCTTTGGAATATTATGATAATGAGATCTAATTCTTTTACAGTATACAGAAAAAAACAGTTGAACTTGAGCCCCATTTTCTTTTGAAACATTTATAGTCTATGCCAAGATATGTTTTTAAGTCAATCAAGTTCCGATATTTGGAGCAGGATTTGCTTACCCTTACAGAGTACTTGAGATCACCAATAGGGTTTTTGGTGGGGTCTGTGTTGCTCAGTCTTTCTATGTAGTTTTTTGGCATGGCATTGTCTGTTTTTATTCAATTTCTGATGTCCATACTAGAAGGCTATTTTAATTTTGCTATAAAGGTATAGTTTAAGACAATCTGAATTAAATGTCAATGTAAAACAGTGATAGAAGTACAGTGGATTCATTATTATTGATGGGTACTCATCTTCTTGGGAAAAGGTGAACCACAAATTCAAATGTTAACAAAATATGCATGCAGAGTTTATGAAAACTACAAAAAAATTTATTCAAAAAAATAAAATTTTTGCCTGAATCCACAGAAATTGGTATCTAAGAAAATTAATGAACCCACATTACTATTTCATTGATAAATTAGAATTTAAAATTGTAAATTCAGAAGAGGGTCTTAAATAATAAAACATTTAAGTGATACACACATGATATGCCAATGTCTATGTGAAATACATTATGGGGATCTAGAGACATATTCCCAATCAAGAAAATCTGCCGTAGCAAACATCAAGTTTGACGCCTAATTGGATGTACAGAGATCGGTAGTCAAATTTTCAAATTTTCTCATGACAGGGCCTTTTATAGCTGATTGTATGGTATAGGTATTGCTCATTGTTAAAGGTTATACTGTGACATGTTGTTGTTTACAGTCTTGTCATTTGCACTTGTTTGGATTGTTGCCTCAGTGGTAATCAAACCACATCTCTTTATTTCTATAATATATCCATTCTTGACTCGTGTATAAATTACTTATATAAAGCAACTACCCATTAAATTCTTAAGGATACTATGAAATTGTAGCAGTAATACAATAATATTTTAATTACCTGTATAATATGGACACCTTTAAGAGTAACTACCACCAAATCTTCCATCCCATCACCCATAATGTCCAACCTGTCAATGCCCATCACAGGGCAGGCAAAACTTTTTTGCCATAACAATTGAAAATGGTCACATTTCTTGACCATGTAGTCCTCTTGTTTGTGTTGCTTCTTAGATTGTGTTATATTTTCAGTAGAATGTTTGAAGTTCAGATTTTCATGTGATTTTGACCTCAATGTGTCCTGAATGTCAACAGGTCTCTGTTCTTTTTCATCAGACAGATGTCGATTTCTGTTTGGATCATTTATATCACCAAATTCTTCACATTTTTCATTTCCTGAGGATTTTCCAGGTTTAGACACATGCTTTTGTGATACAAATTTATATGCAAGAAGTTCCTGAAAGCAAAGAAAAATGTTCAGGTCTAACAGTTTGTTTTTCTTCCGATAATTGCAAAAGAATTTTATTCATTGAATTTGTGTTTGAATTAATAATAAAAAAACCATTACCAGTAAACAATGTTTGAAATATATACTCTAAAAGTAATGATAATCATAGGGTTTCCAATTTTTTTTAATAAATTTACAGCATAAATTTTTTTTTTTGTGTTCCCCAATTTTCTGTTATTGCTGAGTTTCTGTCTCTTTGATGTATACCCCAAATTTCCTTTTATTTACATGAAATTTGGCTTCCACAATTGAAAATGCTGGTACTGCAAAGTAAAAGTTAGAGTTTTTAATGAATTTGTCTTTTAATGTTCCCCCAATCATAACAGAAATACATTTATTTGTCTCGTAATATTATATGGCAGTTAAAAGATTATCTCCCTTGTATATAAAATAAATTTTCTTTAAAATTTCTCAGAAGAAGGGAATAATGGTAAATATAAAACAAACATTAAACAAAAATAATACCAACAATTGGTACGAGCTTCAGATAAAAATGGCTTGCAATATAAGTATTACTACCTGGCCATATGTTCCAACCATTATTTCATTACATCCATCAAAATCTATATCAACAATACAAACACACAGAGGTACATCAAACTTGTTACTCTGTGGTAATACGAGAGGCTCTTTCAAACCATTTGATAAAACATTCCTGCATAACAAAAAAACGTTTTTGATAAAAAAAAAAACCTCTCATAATTTTTGTTGTTTGTTTAATGAAATATGTGTTAGTATTAAGATCTGAAGTTAGTAAATTTGTACAGGTGGCCACTTTTCTTTGAAAACTAGGAAAAGGTTTTAATTTCATTCCAGTCTTTTCAGGCCCTTTCAGCACAAAAGGTTAGTAGTGATAAGTCATATTTTGTGATGTGATAAATGAGAAAAAGAGGTCAGCACGCTTTTTTTAAACACTCATATAATTTCTTGACTGCACTCCTTGCTGTTTCACAAAATACTTAAATGTACAGCATTCCATCAAGTATCCCTGTTACGTAACATTATCAGTAATCTTTTTGAAATATTTAAACATGCTGACGCACATGTAAACTGATTTTATCCCACCATATTGTGTGCCTGTACCATGTCAGACTACCAGGACCAGATGTTTTTGGTTGTTTTAAGAGAATCCTGTGTTTCAGGTTGGTGTGGTCTATTTTCTGTAATTCCTGTTATCCTGTATTATTATGATTTTTTGGTGAAAATGTAATATAAACAAAACATTGCTGACTTTATCTAAAAGATTGCAACCTACTCCTATAGAATTCTGTAAATGTGTGCATATTTTGAGTGTACCACAAAATTATTCCATTCCTTACCTATAGACAGCTGCAGGTTCTAGTGCACTCAGAGCTAATACATGGAAGACAGGATCGCCTTCTTTTTCTGAATTTTCTTTTCTCTCTGTAATCATAATGCTATTATCAATAATAGTTATTAATTTCACCTAATAACAAGTAAACGTCAATGTGTATACTAGAATTTGGAAGATAATGATAATACATCACAAACTGAAATCATTTTTTTACGAGGGGTGTCATGGTATATAGAATCAAATCTGAAACCATCAATGTCACAAATCTACCCTTTCAATATGAATACCATATGTAATTTTAATTCACCAATTTCTACATACAGGTTATCAATTAATAATCACTAAATTTGAAATTAAACAGTATAAAAATACATACATAGGTTATGAATTAATAATCACTAAATTTGAAATTAAACAGAATAAAAATACATACACAATTGTCCAATGCAAAAGATGTGATGCATTCATAAAAATAAGGAGCAAACTCTGCTGACCATCTTGGACATCTATATACTTACGACTTATAAATCCTGGCTGAGATACATTATATTCTAAGGTAAAAATTTTGATACAGGTAATAGGACTATCATGTTGAAGTGACCAGGAACTCAACATCTCTACAATACAGTGATACATAAATGTAAACTCCATCAAATATTTGTTCAAAGTTGTACTCATAATATGGCAAATGAAGACAATCATTAGTTGATTATTTAACAAAACACAAGTGTCTTAGTGATGAGGCTAATTATTCAAAACTAAATCTCAGTAGATGTTGCAAATAAGAAGATGCATGTACTTTGAACCCCTTTATGTGTATCTGCAAAAAAAATGGCAAATTGCTGTGTACTATAAATGAGTTTGTTAAATACTTGTTAAGATACAGATATGAATCTTAGATGTATTCCTGGCAGAAAAATTTGTAAGGGTTTCGCGGAACCCAGTGTCTCACCTACTTTTGCTGCTAGTCACAGGCTCAACAAAAATGG